AGTTAATGATCGGGCTCCTTACTTGGAGTGTCGGGAGGGAGCTGAAAACACGAGCTTTGGTTTGTTCCCCGCTGGAAGAAGGACGGGGAGGTCTGGGATGGAGGAGAGACCCAGTGGGTGTGTGGCTGCGTGGGCCCCGCGGTGCGAACCAGGCCGCAGATGGGATCACTTCCGCGTGCGGTTCCACATCCTTCCCTCGCCCCTTCCAGCGGTATTTTTCTCTGCCTTTCGAATAGGCAGGACGACCTTTGTTGTTGAAGCGTTTTATTATTCTACATCCAAAATGCTTTGGCATTAATTTTTTATAGTGCTTAAAAGTCTGAGGGCGTTTCATTGTTGTGGCTGGGGGTTGTTTGCTTTTCTATTTTTACATGCTAAGAGTGTGTGTTGGTTTTGAAAATTACTTTGAAGAAGGTGTTTAAAATATCACATTTATTTTAGATCACAATTTGTCACATTAGGGAATGGGTTGTAATTTTCATTACAAACGCTGTATTCATGCTGACTGGAAATGACCCTGTCACATGTGAAAACAAATCAGACTGTTGCTGTTAATGAGCTTTTCAATTTACTATTCAGTGGATCAGATAAGTGGATTTAAGAGGTAATGATCCTGCTTAGCACTCAAGCTTGGCTGTCAGATCCTCGTAGTTGTGGGAAATCCCCAGGGACAAAAGTGTTGACACAGTTCTTGATGGGATAATGGGAATCAAAGCTAATGGATGATAAAAGGAGTAGTACGAGTCACAAGGATAATTGTGGATTAAAGCACTGCTCTTTGTCAACACTGACTGCCGTTTGAGTGTTTTGTTTGTTAAACTCTGATGTGAGGAGAGCCTGGTTTGACAGCCGAGCACAGTGCTGCTACACACGCTCACGCTCCCTTTCTCCCGCCGGTTTTCCGGGGCAGAAAGGAAAGCTCTTCGCATCCGTGTGTGTTTGCTCATGTCTTTACATTTCTCGCTGTCTCTTTTTCTCTTTTCCTCATATCAAATACAGAAATTCTTAAACTTTGCTAGAATTAGAGCTGCTATAGCATTCCAGCAATGCAGTATTCAGAGATGATTTTTTTTTAATTAGAAGCTATTCTTTTTATATTTGAGTATATTATTGTTGCTGTGTTTAATTACTTCGCATTTACAGTGTGAAGATGTTTTGCAACGTTTGAAGGATTGTATTGTATATTACAACTTTTTTCATATTTAGATTGTTCCTTCACTACTGATTTTGTCACAACAAATTACATTAATACAATTACAAAAGGATGAGTTACCTTACAAGTTAAGTTATACTTGATCTTGGCGTGATATCTGGTTAGAGCCGCAAGTTTGTTTCTTCACGCCTTTATTACACTCGGATTTTAAAACTAAAGTCTTTACAAGATGAAAATACAATTTCCATAGTAATAATAATAATAATTAGAATTATTTAGTTTCATAATATGTTGTTGCTGCTGTTGTTATCTTCCTCAGAGGTGCAATACCGCCGGTGTGGTTGTTAAGCAGCGTCATGGGATTACATCACTAGCAGAGAGGAAGTTGGTACGAGCGAGTTTAGGTACAGTGCCACAAGTACTGAGGCAGCTGAAGTGGTGGTGTGGCAGATGCACCGTCAGCAAGCAGAACTGGCAGCTAGATGGCACCAGGCTTTCACCAGTGGGCAAGCGGGCTGCCTGCTGCTCCCAGACCGCAGCGAGACTTCGCTCGATCACGTCGTGTGGAAGAATTATATATAACCCGTGGTATTTGGGTTAGCGTCACTAAAGGTTAAAACTACTGAAATGAAATGTAGTGACCGGTGCAACTGTTTAGCCCAGTTGTAAGCAAATAGCAGAGTTACGTCAGCTCAGGGTTGGCAGAGGATTGTCTTGTTAATCGACAAGGGACAGCTTGGCTGGTAACATATGCCATGGATCCCAAATACAAGTTCTGTGAAGGCCAAAGCCTTTGTTCTCCTCTTAAGAGCACAAAAATGAATGTCTGTAGAGTGCCTAATCTACCAGATTTTACGACTGGCAGAGCAGGAACTTACAAGTGCAAGCTAAAGAACAGTGTTGAATCACATCCCACTGAGGACAGAGACAAACAGAAGAATATTTTCTTCATCCTTTTGCTATTTTTTATAATAAAATGAGGGCAGGGGGTGTTAATAGAAGCTGTATTGTTCTGTGAACCACAAAATGAGTTTATTGTGGAGAATTTGCATCTCCTTTGTGGCAAAAAAAAATGTAGGTAAGGGCAGGGAAAAGCCTGTCAGTCCCAAATTCACAGAACACCATGGGAGAGTGTATAAGCCATCTCTTAGGAATGCTTCGGGTAGGTTGGATGGACAGGGATTTGCGCCTGTACTTTTCTCACGCAAAAGCAAAATAGGGAAGGTTTTAAAATAACTGAAAATGTTGGTACTTGCCAGTCTGTATAATACGTTACTGTTGAAATGTTTATTTTCAGGTGTATGCCCGGATGTCGGAAGTCTTAGGAATAACAGATGACAGCCATGTTCTGGAGACATTCACGACAAAAATGTGAGTTTGTGCTTGGGTTCTGTTCTGTATGTATTTTGTTTTGTCTTTAATGTTTACATAAAATACGAATTTTGTTTTGTCGTTGAGTTTGCTCTTTGCTAGAAAGATGTCTTCTGTACATTTTAAATATTTGAAGTAAGGGATAACCATGTTCAGAAGCACCCTTATCTCATGCTTTAGGAGGTAAACACTTGCAGCCGGGTACGTCGTGCACAGTGCCTGCATCTCCTCTGGACATGGCTTAGGGGAGAACAGAAGTGAGATTTCATAGACTCTTGTTCAGTGCCAGCCTGGCATAAGCGGTCCCCACCCTTCCCCACTTCTCATTCCTGCAGCCTTAGATGTCAGTGGAATTGCCCATAAAGCTTCATGATAATTTACGGTTGGGAACTGACCAAGTTAAACTATTCTTTCCTTGTTTTGGGGAGGCTCTTTTGAATTGCTTTTTGGCAAGATCTGACAAAATTTGCTCACTTGTAAACAGATTCACAGAGGAGGATTTTAAGGCCTCATACTGAAGGAGTCAGGGGGCATCATTATGAGCTGTCTTCTTATCTCTGGCTTTTGGTAGAGTACGATGGCCTATTATTCTGGCAGATGAGCATTGCAATACTTTCTCTTATGGAGAAGCTACCTTCTTCTCATGCCTCCGCTCCAGTTTCTTTCCTTGGGTGCCAGCAATAGTACCAGGATTTTGTCTTTTATTATCTGTGTCCTTCATGAGATTCAGTAGTTTCTCCTGACTCAAAAGGGGTTTAATCTGAAATCAGTTTTACTCCTGAAGCAAAACAAAAAGGTCCCTCTGAAAAACTGTGAATATCCACTAAAAAAATCTGAGAGTCCCCCAGGAGTCAGTGGAGTGTGTGCCTGGAGAAACAAGTACCTTACATCTTTAAGGTACTTTAAGGTACTTCCAATGTCCTGTCCTTTACTTCATGTCCTCTAAATCTGACTTTATGAGACCTTTAAATACTTTCAGTAGACTTTGACCTACTAGAGTAACATCTCTGTGGGTGTTGCCAGGTTATCCGTGGCCTGTCTGGACAGTATTAAACATGATTTGTCTTTTGCTACCATGACTGCCAACCTTGAGAAATAGTTGCAATTAGGACAAGGTCATTTTCTAGTATGACTTAACTTTTCTGTAGAAAACAAGGCATAAATGCTTTGCTTCCTTGAAACCAGAAGCTGAGTGTTATGTCGTGCCTTAGGATAGCTCTGGTACCCGCCGAACCTTGGTGATTATCTGGAGTATGCTTTGAAGACAGGTAGATAGATGGTGATGAATGGAAAAATAGTGATGGATCATTATTGTGCAGGTTGTGGAAGCATTCCATGTCATGGCGCTAGACAACTAGGCTTCATTTTGTTGTTTCAGACTACAGTGAAATTTTAGTGACTGAGGAAAGAGAGGAGAGAGGACCATTTGGAGACCAGATGCATTGGTTTGCTTCTCTTTTTCTACTTGTTGCCATTGAAAGGAAATCTCTGTTACCTTTGCCAGTTGAGGAAATAACACATCATTTAGCAGGTTGTGCGATAAGTACTGTGTGATTGGATAGGGCTGTATTTGCACGAGTACTGTAAATTAAGAAAAAAACACAGGGTTTTTAGGTTACACGCTCTATATTTTTATTTTCTCTTTCCTTATGGCTTACTGTATTTTCCTAAAGTTTCCTAAAATTGTTCTTTGATTAAAGATCAATTTTGTTTCACAAAATGGATGTTACAGCCGGGAATGGACAATTCGGTCAGTAGCTCCAAGAGTTAGCTGTGAAACTGCTGTATAAACACGTTCATGTTTGTGTCCGTTGAAATGAATTAGCTTCTTCCCAGTCATAGCGTGCCAGCTGGAAAATCTGGGCGTGAAACCGTAACATACTGACACCTAATCCAGAAAGCAGGGTCTGATGGGGCTCTGTTCCTGAGAATAGTCTTAGCACATTTGTAACAGCAGCGGGTGACAGCGGTGGGCAGGATACATGACTGCGACCATTCGCCTTTTCCTTGTGTGGACCTAGTCAGTATTTTTAACCGCAGTGTTATTTTAGAAAGCCACTACTCTACTGTTCTGTTTTACCCTACAGCTCCATTTTTTTTCTTTAAGTAGGTGAAATTTGTCGTATGTTATTCCTTAACGTTAGGTTGAAAGGAAACACTAGGGAGTTTTTAGTGTGCACTTTCTTGTTAAAGTGGTGGTATTCTCGTACAGTAACTGCACGACAATGTTTGAGACTATATTGGTTTGTTAATGCTTAGCATTATGTGAGGCAGAGGAGCTTGAAAGAATATTGTTGCCTGGCTAATGGCAAGCAGTGTTTCAAATGAGAAAGTGTTGGAGAAGGTACCTTATTGTAACCTGCCATTAGCACTGTGGTATGATCAAAAGACAATGTCAGGTTATTTCCTTCCATTTTGCTGTTAAAGAATCCAATGAAGGATGCATGCAGGAAGTATTTTATACTTAGTGTGAGAAGTAAACATAGCAATTAAATTTATGGTAGTCAAGTTGCAGTCTATCAGGACGTAGTACTTTTTTTTTTTGGTATGCTGTTAAGGACTTAACCTCTTTTTGCGACAGCTTACTGGTTGACGTGTGGAGGTTCTCGTTTCCTGCAGTCAGATGTGGGCGTAGCAGCGTTTAGATGGATGAATGGAATTTTGCTTTGATTTATTGACACTTTTAACATGTCTTCTGTTGAGCTGTCTTTCCCCAGACCTCTCTGCTTTCAGTAGTTCACTTTCATGTATATAGCTTTAATCTGTTCTTTTGAATTCATCAGTAACAGCTTTGCAGTGGATGGTTGATGATCGAACTCGGTGAGATCTTTCATTAACAGAAAACAATTTGAAATACTTGTGTTATAGCTTCAGGTAGCTGCAGTAGACACTGTTCAGTCTGTGCATTAAAGGCAGTATGAAATAGGTATTCCTCAATGTACAGAAATATTTTGAGATTTGTCAATGTAATAGGTGTCCCTTAGACCTTCTGACTGTAGTTTTAAGTACTACTGTCACATCAGATCCTAGACCTTTTATCACCTTTCCATTGGAAGTTCATGAATGTGCCTCTTACTGAATTCCTGTTAAACCATTTCTGAAGGAACAGAGTTTTACATACTCAGAATGTCCATTAATGGCTGTATTTTCATCACAGTCTTACCAGAAATTTTATAGGATGGTTCTTTTAGCACTGTCTTTGCTTGCTTTGACAATCATCTTATAGGATCTATGTGTGGAAGGGGAAAGGCCTACTGAAAAAATACCTAATCTCAAGCTAAATTTTTCTAATATGCACAGCATTTTAAGTCTTCTCAGCTGTATTCAGCATCATAGCAACACTAGAGGAGGTTCATGGAGAAAGAAACTGGGAGGAGTTAGTGAGGGTGGAGACAGGCAAGAGGGAGCAAGGGAATTTTGAAGGAGCTAGTAGGGTTGCAGTGGATGCGCTTCAAGCACATGCCTTAAGTAGCTTTGAAAGATTTCTTTAAAATGTGTGATTTTTTTAATCTTTGATTTTTATAATGCAAGTATATTTGTAATATCCTTAACTTGAGACCAATACTGTTCCTAAACTTACATGGTTCAGGCTTTCCAATTCGTGTCATCCTTACATAAGTTTAAAATGTTTTCACTCTGCTTTAATTAATAACAACAACAGCAACAAACACACATAAAAAATGAAGCAAACAACAAAAGAACCCCCACCACACCCAGACTTGCTGATTGGCAGTCATCGTCTCTTCTGTCTGGTAGCAGCTTACCTTACCTTTTGTGACTGCTGCTTTGTCGTTCTGCCAGACATCCGGTGCGCGTGGGGCAGTGCAGTGTTACTGGGGTTCCTTAGCTGGGTTGTGGTAACGAACCTGCCCGTTACATTTCAGAGAAGGGGTTCAAGGCCTCCTGGAAAGAGAAGGGATGAGTTCTTTGGGCACTTGCAAATGACGTGTGAGCAATACTTGAGCACCTTGGCATGCAGTGATAGATGGAGAAGGTACCCACCATCCATGGGACCAAATGGATCTTCTTTGTACAGTATATACTCACTTCATCACTGCCTTTTTTGTGCTGATAGTGTTTTGCTTTTGCTTTTCTACCTTGCATCCCCGATCCCTTCTCCTCCTCTAAAATTTTGTTTTCTCAATTGCACTGCATGTTTTTCAGTCCTCTCTTTTAAGCCGGGTGTTCCACTCGTGTGCTCCGGCAGTATCATTTCCCATCACTACTGCTGTAAGACCTGCTGCATCTTGCATGAAGGGTTGTCCTTTGCTGACACCACACAGAGCAGTGTGATAGAGTCCATGTGGCTGAGGAGATCTTTCTCCAAACCATAAACTGAGGACAGGACATGAAATTAAGGACATTTGAATGGGTTTTTTTTTATTTTTGGGAGGGGGGAAGTCATGAGATGTATTTAATTGGCTGGAAGTGGATATCTTTGCCTTGATTCTTTCCCTGTTTGAGTGTCATAATGACTTGGAGCATGCAGAGAATTTTGATCCTTCTGTGGATGGTAGGGGTAACGCTTTTCCCAGAGAAGTCTGAATTGGAGGATGCAATCATTATTTATCTTCCCCTTCTAGGTGTTAGGTTAAAAATACACAGCCTCTTAAAATAATATTTTTAAGCCACTGTACTAAGGGAAGATGTTTGGTGTGCTGATGGCAATGCATTAGGAAGCAGTTGTGGTGACAGACAAAGTCTCGTAGCAAGTTGGGGGGTTTGGAGGTTGGAGAGCTGGGAACCTTCTTTGGTGCAGTTTTTAGAAGCTAAGGTTTTATTCTTGTCTTCTTACTAGCGGCAAACTACAGAAATATTTGGAAGTGTGCTGGATTCTTAATGCTGTTTCATTTAATTTTTTTAAATTCCCACAGCTTTTCGGCATGGATCAGAGTTACTGTTGCTCTTTTGGTTCTGTGTGTGTGTGTGTGTGTGTATATATAGTTCAGTATTTTGATATTGTTACCAGAATTGGAAATGTTCTGCCACTTTTTATATCCACGTTTTTTTGTACTTGCCTTTAAAAAGTGCTCAGTGCTCATCTACCACAGAAGTTTTGGTGAATTTGGCATTGACATAGTTTTTGATGAGGCTCTTAATTTCCGTGACTCATCTGAAACTTCATGATTGGTTCCTTTGATTCTCGATTCATTTAGTTTGTATTTTAAATCAATAAGCCACTTGAGAGAGAATGAGGCAGGGACACTAGCACTTGGATTTAAGTGCTGTCTTGCCATGATTTCTCCAAGACCTGTAAATTTTTCTCCTCTTTCATTCCTTGGCTTTTCTTCCTTCCTTAGTGGAAAACTGCTTTTTGTATTATGAGATCTCTCTCTAGATCTTCACAGATTTTCTGATACTTATAATGTTCTGTAGGTGTTTCTTAAAATACTACATTTTATGTGTCTTTCATCTTGCCTGATATTGATAAGGCAGAAACAGAAATGGGAATTGCTACGATTATAATTGAAATTTTTCAGCCTCTCTTCACTCACGAGTGCTTTCTAGCTTTTATATTATTGCTTCATCTTTCAGCATCGAAATACGACCATGAACTGAAAAGATAAACATATACAGAAGTATCCTGAACGTTGGCTGAAGAGCCTTCCCTGCACAGTTTTAATTTTCTCTTCAAGCTGTCACTGTGACTTCTGTTTTTTCATGAAATGTCTTGTACCTGGCTACTGAAGGACAAAGATTTTGCTCTTTTGCAAAATAACCGTTTTATGATTTTGATATTGATGTCAAATCTGGGTAGTCCAAATTCATTTTTATTGCTTTGTATGGTATATACTTGTTAAGGATTTAGTGCAGCTATAAACATCTCCAGAACTCCCCATAGTAGGGATAAACTGAATTATGGACTTACTAGAATGGGCTATTTCTTCAAAGCAATGTGAACCTCCGTAGCTCTTCATAGAGATTTTATCAAGTAAATCAATGTTTTGTTTGTAAATCTAAGTTGAGGAATACTGCTGTGGTAATTGCATTGTTATTTACCTTTTCCTGAGCAAATAAGACTAAACAGATTCTTTAAACTGCATTCTTGGGTTCGTAACTTCCTGAAAAAGATATGTAGTTTATGTGGTGTAGTTCATTCCTTAGCCTGGGAGTGAATATGTAAAAGCAATGATCAGTGCTGATTTTAAGGCATTTAACATGTCTTCTGCAGGTTCTGTTTTCCCCAAATTGAAATCCTACTTCATCACAGTAGAAATAGCTGGTACTGATTAACCTCCTACATCGTGGTCTTTCATCGGTAGATCTGACAGCTCAAAGTCGGAATCATTATGCATATTCTACAGACAAGGAAACTGAGGCATACAAATCTGAAATGACTGACTCTTGATCATTAGGCAGTTTGAGATGCACCCGAGCAATTTGTTACTGTGACCAGGAATAGGCGCCAGGGCTCCTGAGCCAGGAAGTCGTGCTGCCTTTTCATCCGAATGGGCTGTTTCACAAGGCTGCGCTGGCCTGTTTTTATTTCTCCAGATGAATTCAATATCAGAAACTCTGCTATGAGTCTCTTACACAACATTTTCTCCCTGTTTGGAAGAAGGGGGCATTCAAATTTCTTACAGGTTTTTGAGCAATTCAGGGTGATAGTGTCCCAGAAGAGCAGGGCACAGTACCTGCCTTCAAAAAAGGGAACTAGGAGAAAGCAACTTATTGTAGGCCAGTCAACCAAACTTGGATTCTCAAAGGAGCATTAGAAAAAGTTACTAGTAGTCAGTGATAAATGCAACAGGGCTACGTGGGGAGGGCGGTAATTTCTTCTTACTCACTGGCTGGAATTTTCAACCGAAACAGAAAGGATCAGACATTTGGACTTCAGTAAAATTGTTGACGCTGGCCTACTTGACATTCCCCTAAGACAGTTAGGAAATGACAGGCTACAAAATCAGTGACTCTCAACTTATTGTTGTAATCGCTCTGCATTTGGGAAAAAAAAAAGTTCCCTTACTTTACTGGCTTTCCTCTGAAGGCCAGTGCCACCTCTTCACCTCCTGATGAATCCAGGAGGTGAACACGAGAGATTCCATCCCAGGCCACGCCAGTGTCTTTGCACTGTCCTGCACGCAGTCCAGAAGCAGCTGTAGAAGGTCCCCACTCTGTGCTCCATGTCTCTCACTTAACCCGTGGAAGGCAGCAGAGCAAGCACTGGCTGCGTGCTTTCACTGAACAACTGACTATGAGAGTTTGCTGTCAAAAATGGTAAGTTGTTTTGTGTGATGTTCCCCAAGGATTGGTAATAGGTCTAGTGTGATCCTGTATCATAATTTCTGCGTTGGTTTATTAATCAGAGTATGCTTCCTAAATGCCTATGTCTGACAGGGGTTGCAGTTAGGGAAATGTGGTATCCCCTGTCTGTCTTGACCTTAGTTAAGTGCTTGGTGTAGGAAGTGTAAAATAGGGATTTAGTACAAGAACGGCAAGGTCGAGTTTCACTGGGACTTTGGTGTAGCAGTAACTCTGCTCTTAGTTATTCTGTGCCCTGTTTCTCCTATGGAAATTTTCCTGGGTAATTTATAATGATTGGACAGATAAATACTACAGAAGTTATGTGCCCAGATATTGTGTTGAAAAGTAAGATAGATATAAGTAGAGGTGAGCCTCAGACAGTTCACTTCATTATGACAGATGATACATTTTAAAAATTTATTTGTTACAGTATTATAAAACTGTTTGAATCCCTTGTTCAGATAAAAGCCATGACATATTTTAATAGCATTTTCTGGTTCGTATATGAAGAAACCTAAGACACATCACAGGAATAAATTTATACTATAATGTGCTGCTACTCTGAGCTTTCGCACTGCCCTTCGCAAAAAGAAGAGAATGTGTTGTAAAATCTCACTCTCTCGTTTTGTTTTGTTTTGTTTATTCCAGTGTTACCAATCTTAAATACCGGGGACGATGTGAGCCCGTGATTTCAAGAACTCTTCAGTTTCTAAATGACCTTTCTGTCGGATATCCTTTTTATTGTATATGGCATAACATATTATTTGAAAAAAATAAGTTAAAAATCAATTTGAGACTTCTGCTGTTCGGTGTGTCACATTTTTTAACCAATGAGGATATTAATATTTATTCATTTTGGTTTATCTTTTTCTATGCATCGTTTTTAAAAGATGTGCTTATTTCCACCTACTTCTTACTAACAGAAGAGAAATCATGTAACTGCTTGCTTATGGTCATCTGTCCTCTTCCCGATCATCGTCTCCTCACTGGTGAGTTCAGCAATATTGAGAAAAAGGACTGATTCTGTTAGCAGTGGAGAACAGGGTTGGCTCTACTTTGAGGATGGGTCAACTAAGATATCAAGCATTAGTTATATTTGAAACAGGCCTCTTCACATGTTTTATCCTTGCCTGATTCTCAGTTCCTCACTGTGTCAGTGTCATCATTACTGCTGATAAAACAGCCATGACTTTGCATATGGATTTTTTGTCTGAGTCCAAGTATTGTTTTAAAATTCTCACCCACATTGTGGACGCTAACTTGCTATCTGATGCAAACCTTTTGTATCTCGTTCTAATATTCACATACTCATCATAAGCTGGAGAAGAATGTTTGCTCTTTGAATTTTCAGTCAATTGAGCAAGATGATGTTAAAAAAAGTAGCAGCTGTTTTTGATGTGACACAATATTTAAAGGTATACGACAGATAATAAACCACTAGAGCTCATGAAAACATTCAATATTGAAATCCTTTGCTTATCTTAAAATAAAAACAACTTTTCAGTAATTTTCTAGAGGAGAATGTCAGACAAGCAGAAGGGAAGGCTCCTGGAATATGACAATTGGTATCGTTTTATTTCTCCATAGAACTTTAATCGTACAAGAAGAATTTTAATATATTTCCTTGGGTTGAAGGATGAGTGTGGGTTTTCACATTCCATAAGTGAATTTTGTTTAATGAAGATCATACAATGTGTATTTCTTTATGCTCGCTTGAAATGCTGTTATGCCATTAACTTGATATTTAAAATACTCATGTGTTTATGTTCTCATGGCATCACAGAAGTAGGACTGGAAAGGACTCAAAAGTGAAACATTACTAAGGAATTTGACAAAAACAGAAGGGGAGACATATATTTCATTAATAAGATTTATGAAGGACTACTGAGCTCTCTTCTCTTTGCTACAATACACTTATTGCTTCAGTAGGGTTCAAAATGCTCTCAGAATAACCAAGAGATTTAACGTGGTGCAGCTAACTTGAAGTGCTTGCCTGTTTGTTTATAACGTGTGTATACTTGCTGAAACAATCAACCTCGTACTAATCCTAAAGCCAGCGAGCATTGAGCACTTTATATGGTCTTGTGGGGGCTTTCAAAGGCGTGCATTCACATGGGAGCTCTCAAAAATGAGGGGCAGTGTAAACTATTGGTACCAATAATATTTTTCAAGATGAAATGTCTGCACAGTTTGTTTTTGAATGACTCGAATTATATTTGCAGTAAATGAGTCTCTGGTCATGAAATAGATATAATAATATTGGGACCTAGAAAGGATGAAAAAGTAGGCGTTTAATGGCCTGAGTTCTCCTGAAGAGAACTGTGGTGAAATTGTGGGGTTGTTTTTTTTTTACAGACACTTCCCAACCGTTGCAGCAGCACTGTCAGACCCCTGTGTGTAGTCGGGATGTAGAGCACTACCTTCCTGAATGGACATCTTAAACATCAGTGTGAAATGTTTAAAGACGAGTCAACAGAGAGATTAACTCAAAACAAAAATACAACCATTTTATTCGGTTACTTTTTGACAGAACTGCTTGAAACACAAATTCTGAAAACAGTAGCTTTTCTGCTGAGACGGGTGGGGTTGTACAAAGACAGCTTCAGTGCTGGTTCGCTTCACCGTGATGTTGTATTAGTTAGGTTTAAAATTGTGTTCCCTGGCAAACCATAAAAGATTTCAGAAGTATTAGACACCCACTTTTGTGCTGGAATTTAATATGCAACTTTTTATTGGAAAATAATCGTCCTTGTCTGGCAAAATCCACCATGCAATATTTCTGTTAGTAGGTATAATGCAATAAAGACAGGGAGGGCTATTTATCACTGCAAATTTTGAGGATTTCAGGATTCTTTTTATTATTTTAATATATTTCTTTGGTATTAAATCAGAAAAATGATAAATTACACCTGTCGAGGCTGTTTTTCCTTTTTCCCAGAAAATGATGTACAACCCAATTTCACTGGTCATTTTGGCTTTTAAAGATATGTATTTTTTTCCTATAAAAAACTCCACCAATAGTTTTTTTTAATAATAATACTGAAGTACTTTTTATTTCAAACATATGAAGTAGTTTATAACTACTTCCTGGCATTGCAAACTTTGGCCTTTTCACATTATATTAGGGGTTTTTTTTAAAGACATTAAGTATATATTGCTTTGAAAGAAATAGGGTATTTTGAAGATGCTGGATCCAGTGGATCAATTTTCAGTACTTGATACAGATTAAATTGTGGCCAGCTTGAAAGGTTAAAATAATAATTAATTTAATTTCAGTACTTTCCCGTACGTCAGTCAGCTTCTCCACAGTCACAGAAATCGGTATTTTTCTCTTTTTACGTGTATAATAGTCTTTTTCTAAAGGATAATCTAGAATTAAGGGCAAACCATAATTCCAGCAACTGTACTCCGTAACAGGAAAAGAAGAAGAAAAAAACATAGGTCGGTATTAACACAAAGGTAACAAATGGTCGGAGCTGCTGTAATGGTTTACATTACTTTCACAATTATTGCAGGTTTGCATATTTCGAAATATATTAGCCCAATTTGATTTCAAAGCTCAGTTATTTGAATTATAAATCATTATGTCCCTCCTAGCTGATCAGTCGTGAAATATCTTTGAATTCATTTACATAATGGAACATGTTAGTCATTCCTTTATGTCTTTGAAGCCGTACTGCTCCCTCATGCATGTTTAGTTCTTCCTGATAATTAACTTTTCCCCTGTATTTTTTTTGTAGCAAAATAACTACAGTTTCATTGTTGTTTTGTACAATAACTTGGGGTAAAATATTTACAGTCTCTCAAAAATTCTTTATCCGTGTCTTTGTTAGCCTTGTATTACGAAAGGCTCTCCCCTGTAACAGGGCAGGGGAAAATCCCAACTATGTAGCTCTGCAGTATAGAAACAGATAATGTCAAATGTTACAGATTGAAAAAGGAACATCATCTTAAATCTAGGTTAGGAGATTTTCCAATAGCAGCTATAAACCCTGTTTTTACACTTCTAACTGTTTAGAAAGAATTTAATCCATGAAAAGGGAAATTGTTTATTCCCGTAAAAGTAATTGACCTCTTCAATCAATTATGTTCAGGAATGGTTGTGTGAAGCAAGCACTTAAAGTAAAAAAAAATAGAAAGAAAATATTAAGTGTTATGGGGAGTGGTTTGTAAAACCTTCTGTGTGTGCACTACTGCACAGACTAAAGTTCAGCAGTCATACTGATTATTCCATAAAGAACTTCATCAATGCCAGGGATCAACAGTGTTCAGTAAACAAATGAGTCCTGTTTTTATAATATTCCTTGTAGCAGCCCATAAGTCATTTAATTCATTTGATGCCTTCAATGCTTATGAATGTTTCTGGGGTTTGAGTTTTTCTATGGCATCCCTGAGAAAGTGTATTAGTGTACTTGGACATCACAAAGCCTCTTATATCCCCATTTTACAGATGCAGAACCGAGGCAGTGGAATTTAACTGACTTGCTGAAAGTCATACAGCAATTTTGTGTCAAACAAATGAGAAGCAGAAGTCAGAAAACCCAGGCCGTTGCTTTGGCCATTCTCTCGCTCCTTGTTTGCGAGCATCCCTCGTGGCAGCAGTTACCACTGTACAAAAGCTCACCGAGGTGTCAGCATGGCTCTTACTGGAATACACAGTGTTGTCTCTTTTCCCCAACCCCAAATGTCTGAATCATTCTGAGACAGGGAATTAGTGTGTGCTCATGCTGTTAAAAATGTTCATCATTCACACAGCTAGGAAAGGATTCAAGGAAACAAGTCTTAACCATATGAACTTTAAGCTCCTCTATAACATAGTTTCTACAAACTCAACTTTTGGTTTAATACTATTTCTTGTGCTTTTTAAGAGAAACCGTAAGAAGAATATTACAGTGCACGAGGTGTAACTACCCAGTAAGTCATGCTAGAAAAGGTGATCTGTAGAACACATGCAGTCCAGGAAATACGTGGTTTCTGTGTCATTTAGCGTGCATCTCCCTGGAACCCTTTGTGTACAAGGAGGTGCAAACGGCCTCGAGCTTACCCTGCTGGACTGTGACCAGGAGCTTCAGCCCAGAAGTCACTCAGCTCTGCTAGAACAATGCGTGGACCAGAGCAGCAGACCTTCCTGAGGGGCCTGCGCTGACAGCAGGGCATGGTTGCTGGACCTGCCCTCTCAGCTGTCACTGGCTTGAATTTCGCCAGTTGGTGGAGTGGGAGATTTCAGTTCATGTTGAGCAGCAGGCAATTAGATTTGCTTTATGAAGTTGAAGAAACTGGGATACCTGTGGAAGTATCCATAGGTACATCCACAATTCCCGGTTGTACCACCTTGGTACACGTTACGGACTTCGCACTGGCTCTGAGACTTTGAGTGTATTAACAGATTTCCATACAGTTCTTATACATGTGAACATACTTAAGTGTTTAACATGGCTTGGTGTGTATAAGATGTATTTTTAACTGTTGTAAGTTAAACACATTAAATGGGATTTTTGATGGGTCTGGAAGATCACCGCCATGATTTTTGAGGCCGTTACTTCAGAGCTGCTTAGGCTGCTGCCAGTTCCATTGCCAAGTGCCAGTCGTCTTCAACGCGGGCAGTCGCAAAGTTGCTTTTTTTTTCAAGTGCTGATAACGTGGGTCTATCTGGGGAGAAAACAGCACCATTTATTATCAGAAACTCTCCGTTTAATTATGAAAGTCATTTAGTTCATTTGTCTCTTTTGTGCCTAAAACATATGCCATGAAAAGTAATTGCTTTAATTAATAATAGATTATGGTCTTTAATGTTCTAAAGAATCTATGATGTATATTTCTAGGTGAAATTCAGACCCTTTTTTTTTTTTTAAGGTACATTTGTTGTTGTTTCAGTTGTGGGGTTTTTTTTTCCTCACTAAGAATTCCTGAAAGTTTGTACAACCTGATAATGTAATCATAATGCTGCAAGGCTGATTTTCCCTTAACACCTCCTACTTACAGTCTCCTGAAAAGGCTTGTGAAAATGGAGGCTGTGAAATTCATGCTTCAGAATCACACAGTAAGTTTCCTTACTACATTAAAAAACATGGTGTGTAGTAAATTTTGTAGAACACTTAACGTTTCATGTGCTTATGTTTCAACAGAGTAAGCACTTCCCTTTTCTGGGCATCGGTGATAATTACAGCCTCAGTGATCTTAGGTGCCGGACAGTGTTCTACACCGCTCTCACTCGTCTTCTCATGGTAGATTTAGGTAAGGTACTCCTCTCGTGTCCCTGAGACACCTCGCTGTCTTGTGTAATACTATAAATTGTTAAGGTTATTAGACCAATCAAAGAGCAGCTTAATTGTATAGTAAATATGTTGTAGTTGGTATTTAAATCGCTGCCTGTCAACTTTTAGGATCTATGGCATTAAGCACTAACACTGCATTTGTTGCCTTCTGTTGGAGAAATAAGGAAAATGAGTTGATTTTTTGCACAGAAGCACATTTTGCATTAACTATGAGGATTTACACTATCAAGTGCCTGACTGTCTTGCATTTCCAGGTGACATACTGATTCTGTTAGAACCTTCCAGTTTCTAGTAGAAGGGTTTTTTTCATTTCACTTCTTGCAAGTTCCCAATATACAAAGACCCCCCAAGTATTAATAAACATTGGCGAGAGTTCTGCAATACTTAAACCTGCACTTGGGGTTACCCTCTGAGTTAGAGAGGTTAGACTCGTGTAAAAACCCAGCGCCCACTTTAATAGCTAGACATGCTAAAGGACTTGGTCGCTTTGAATCCAGGCACTGCCCTTGACTGCCGGGGTAAGATGCAGAACTCCATCTGCACGGTTACCTCTCTGCTGTCTGAATGGGGAAGGCTGGGCTTCACAAAATGAAACTGAAACACATTGTATGCTAAAGAATTGGCAACAGTGAGCTGGACCTGCATTTACTTGCAGTTAAACTGCTTTCAAAAGTGGCTCAGTGTCCTATAACATAAAATATAAATATATATGTTCTAATATAAAATGGGTTACACGTGCAGTTTCAGTAACTTTTCCTACAAGGGAAAAAAATTGGTGAAAACAAGATCATAGCTGTTAAAAATTACATCTCAAAGTAGAGACTGCGTAAATAAATGTCAGACAGAATGCAGGCACGAGACTTACGACTGACTAGAAGTTGATAGAGGTCACTGTGATTCCTCTGGATCAACAGCTCTAAAAGATCTGAAATTATTTGGAGTATCTGGAGAAAGTGTACGTGAGGTTTTTTGCTGTTGTCCTTTGTGTTCATACTAGAATAAATTTGTTTGGGTTTGGACTGAGAAAAGCACTTCTAGAGACACGAACAGGTGTACGTTGTGTTTTAGGACCCACATTTGAAATGTGAGGTGTACACACGCTGTCCTTTCTATGTGTTTGTGCAAGTATTACGTGACAGTATCAAAATTATTTTCAAACTGTGCAAACTGTATTTTTTTAACAAAAAAGCATTGTACCAATTGTCTTCTCTGAGTGTTTTCTCAAATTTATATATAAATAAAAATTATATTTAATAAATTTATTCTATATTTAATAAACTATTCAGTATATTTGTATTATTATATGAATTTTTTAAAATATTAGTGACAATTTATGTGGAAACAAAACAAAGATTAATTTTTATTGGTGGGGGTTGTTTTAAGTAATTATTTGATGTAGAAACATTCTTGGAGATTAGCTGAATACAGTAAATTCAGGATGTTTACGTTTTAAAGAATGTGCTGTTGGAGTGACTGGGAAAATTTACTTGTAGGAAAAGAGCAGTAATATATTAATTGGTATTTGCTTCAAAATGCACGTGGGTTTCTGTTGAATTACTTTAACCCCATAGACTTTCAATTCCTTATGTCCCCCAGGTTGCGTTTTTTAATATTTTGAGGTCATTTAGAATTGCATCATTTTGTCCAAGATTCTTAGTCCAAGATTTCTACAGCAAACTGAATATTCTTTTGTGTGAAGTATATAGTAAACCAAACCGAATACAAGAATACCAGTAAAAGTTGTGCTTAAATAAAAGGTTGTTACTAGGATTAATACATTTTAATTGCTTTTTCTTCTGCATTACCAAAAGAGGTAGATCCAAGCTGTAGAAGATACCTTGGGGAGCTATTCAGCATGCTTTGGCAGTACCCTGTGCTTACAGGTATAAGCAGTCATGCTCAGTGCAAAACCTCTCCAAGTGAATCAGGTTTAAAATGCTATTGCTGTAAGCCAGACGCAGATCTACTATAACTTAAAAGTGAGGCATCCCTTTGCTCTCTATGGACATAATAAGGATGTGTATGGATAGTTTGAATTCTGTAAAATGAACATTTTACCATAATAGGTTTGTTTAGGGTAGTTTGGTCCTTTCCTTGTTAATATTGTACTGTACATGGGACATGAATGCAAAAGGAATGTATTTGTAATTTGTGCTGGTTTTCCCAAACTTATAGTATCATTTGATTAATAGGGCAATGCTATGTAGGATCCTGATTGCATATACTTTCTTCACTGCCTAAATTTAAAACAGAGATAACGCGTAAGGTTTTCCCTTGCCCCATTTCCAGAACTAGCTGGCTTTGTCTTTAAAGTGTTGATCCTAATCGACATTGGATGTTCTGGTAGTTCTTCGGTCTTCTCAACTTTTTAATGAAGTGTGCTTGAGATTCTGCCTTCAAGAAGTGCTTGTCTTGAATCTGGATGTGTACAGAGTATTTTCATGGAGCTCTTCTAATGATATGCAGCACTCTAGATGAGATGGAGTCTTACTTTTGCTATGCTGTGATCATTCAGATTTATTCTGAGAGCTCTATAAATGGTAACTGAGCCCTGATCTTGCACAGGGCAGTGTCTGAATGACTTCTGTTAGACTGTACACTGGCACAGGACAATACCAGCACGGGGCTCTTTATACATGATTAATCTTTATTATTTTTGTTTCCTCTGGTAAAAGTCTGGTAAAATTGTTTTTCTCTGGAAAATCTGGTAAACGATTAAAAGGAGAAATGCACTGGGGTGTGCAATGCCTATAGAAATAGTTCAGCTTCTAGGAGCGGAAGGGGAAGCTGATGCTAGTCGAGCAAAGAGATTGGGAGCCCAGAAACTAATACTGTATTGGAAGTGCCTGAGGAGCTGGAGCTGGAGTTGGCAAAGGAAGGAGGTAGAAACAAGAAGGTGGATGAATAGTCTGGGGATAGTGTGAGTAATTGGAAGCGAACACAAGGGCCCAGCAATGACAAATAGAAAGACTCCAGTTGAAAGGAGAGGGAAGATGGCAGAGGAGACCAGCAAGGTGGACAGGATTGGTTTTTCCCAAAGTCCACCAGATCCTACTGCTGCCAGCAGCAGCTCTGAAGTCTGACACAAAACATCTCACCCTCTTGGGTTGTGCTGCAGGTGCAGGGTGCGAGCCACAGATTTGGTCAGTCCCTTCGCTACTTTAAGAGCGTTCTTGAGCATAGATTGTGATTTGAAGGCTCCGTTACTGTGGCCACCCAGTGCAGTAACAGCAAGTTACTGAAAGCATTTCCTTTGCTTTTTAAAAAAATCTGGAAAACTGGGCACAGGAGCCCTGTATGAAAGGGAAGCAGTTTAGGTCACAAAGCCAAGTATTCAGAACAGAAGAAATGCCGTAACTGGAACTGCCTCAGCAACTTTCCTCCCCATTGTAAATATTTACATTGTTATGAGGCAGTTCTAATTGCAGGATCACAGTTAATTCTCTCAGAGGATATTTGCCTCTTTCAGTTCAGAAGATGACATTCTAGCTTAATGAGAAGCTACTGAGGATTTAGATTTTTAATTTATTTTTTTTTCCTGTTGTGTTACTCCATGCCTTGCTTTCTGCTGTGACTCTTTTTTCTTCCTGGTCTTTTTTCTCCTTGGCCTTTTCTGTCGTTCTTACTGCTCTACTGAGGTGAGCAATTGGGTCTTTGCAGTATCCCTAGGGATAAGAGATTGGAATTAGGCCCATTTTATGGATGGGTATATGAAGCGTAGAAACCAAACTGTAAAGCTTACACTAAATTTGCACAGCCAATTTAACACACACAAGACTCCTCCTAACTTCAATTGCAAGTTAGTTTGCCAGACTTGGCCAATGAAGAGAGAAGGGAGAGAAGCACTATAGCAAAGAGGTCTTTAAAGAACATAAATTAAGTGCCCACTCTGAATTGCTCTCAAGGAATCTGCGTGTGAGAGGCAAGCTACCCTTACTAAGGGCCTGAAGATAAGCAGTGTGAGTACCAATCCTCATGCAAATTGCCATTTCTAAAAAGTTGTTGTTGTTCATAGTTACTTGTTCAGCGTCATGGCAAAACAAAACCAATCCAGACTCACAGGTTATCTTTCAACTATCTAACCCAGACAATCTCTTTTTTTCCCTTCCCACAACATCTTGTTTCTTCTACTCTAAATTCACACCTCCTGAAACAAATGAGGCAATAGCGTTACACGAATAACCCCAACACAGTCCGGATTTATTTCCATGGCAGCTTCATTCTGTCTACTGAATAGGTACGAGGTAGAAAAGGTAGCATACAATCATAAAAGGTTGTGATTTAAACATTATACTACTAAGTACGTGTGAAAGGGTCCCGTTTATTGTTGTAGTTTTAAATTTAACATTTTCTAACTGTTGAGTCTTGACTCTGTGAATATTCTTCAGAGTACTGAACAAAGGCTGTCAGATTAACAGAGAAAACAGAAATATGAAAAGGAGAAAGATGTGAAATGCAGAGACATACCAGTCTCAGGCACAAGTTGTTTGCGATTAACAATGTGTTGTCTTTATACATAGCTCAGTAAAAATGTGTGAAACCTCAGGTTTTTGTTCCTGTAGGTCATACAAAAATTTCCATGATGTCAGTGAGATTTTTCTATAAAAGCCTGAGACTGACCATTCTGAACAACAGTGTGAATATGATGTGATGCTTTTGCTGTTTTCTTTTGGTTTCTTTTCCTGTAGGTGAAGACGAGGATGAGTTTGAGAATTTCATGCTCCCCCTCACAGTTTCATTTGAAAATGTGACTCAGATATTCAACAGTAGTTTTGACCAAGAAGAAGCAAAGGTAGGTTTAATTCGGTTACAGGGAAAATAAATTATTGATGGGAAAGCAAATAGTGGGGCAAACAGTTAGCAACAAGCCTGTCTTCTCTTCTGTCTGTCTCTCTTGGTATGTATATACTTGTATACTTACGTGTGTATTTATACATATATTTCTTTAGGAATGTAAGCAGTAGAGACACAAAGGGCTATGAATGACTATCCTAAATAATCTTTGTACAAAGATTTTATAAAGGCCTTGGGATTTTTCAGTGCTTTGCAGATCAAGTGACCCCATTTTATCCCCGTTGATAATCAAAGGGACAAATTTGTCTTCAGTGATAGCTTATCTGTTTCATGTTATATTTCCCTTTGCCATGCAAATATCTTCACAGAATCCCAGACCGTTAGGGATTGGAAGGGACCTCCAAAGCTCATCCAGTCCAATCCCCCTGCTGGAGCAGGAACACCCAGATGAGGTTGCACAGGAAGGCGTCCAGGCGGGTTTTGAATGTCTCCAGAGAAGGAGACTCCACAACCTCTCTGGGCAGCCTGTTCCAGGGCTCTGTCACCCTCACAGAGAAGAAGTTTCTTCTCAAATTTCAGTGGAACCTCCTGTGTTCCAGTTTGTGTCCATTACCCCTTGTCCTATCATTGTTTGTCACCGAGAAGAGCCTGGCTCCATCCTCGTGACACTCACCCTTTAAATATTTATAAACATGAATGAGGTCACCCCTCAGTCTCCTCTTCTGCAAACTAAAGAGACCCAGCTCCCTCAGCCTTTCCATATAAGGGAGATGCTCCACTCCCTTGATCATCTTTGTAGCCCTACGCTGGACTCTCTCCAGCAGTTCCCTGTCCTTCTTGAACTGAGGGGCCCAGAACTGGACGCAATATTCCAGATGCGGTCTCACCAGGGCAGAGTAGAGGGGAATATCTTGTTTGTGTATATTAAAATATTTATTTGGGGATATGAGGAGACATGTTGTAACACACTTGATAAAACACTGCTGCTTTAAAGTATTTTTTCAAACAAGAATTTATTATATAAATCAAGACTTTATTAAATGACTGGGCATATATGTATAAATAGGAACTGGTCTTGAAGTATTGCACCCTTAAACTGAACAAAGTGATTAGGATAACTGATAGCTAAATAAGGTTTTTATGTGCCTGTGGGAGCCATATTAGGATTGATTTGACAAGTCAGTTCAGCTGTGGCAACAGTCATAATATCTAACACAACATTATGTTTTATTAGTAAAATCTTTAAGTGTAGCAAGCTGTTTGTGTCAAAACAACAGTATATTTTAGGGAAGAAAAAGCCTTGCTAGATACAAGCTGCATCATCAGGAATGACAATATATTATTGCATTAAAGAGATCCCCTTCCACCATCACTGAATAAATAGTTAACAATGCACACTGGAGCGCTTGCTTCAGCTACACAAGGTAATTTTGAAGGAGCCCTAACAGTAATTTTAAATTCGATATTTTAAAATACACTGGAAACTTAAATGCCACGTCATCATATTTATCCACTTCCTTTCGTAAGAAAATAAACAGATATGCTAGAAATACTTAGTAAATAATTTGTACGTCTCTGACATTATCAGAAGGTGCACAGTTGACAATAATTGCTTGAATTAAGCTAGTATTTTTTTAAAAAAACAGTACTTAGGGTTACTTCAACAATTACTTAATTCTAGTTTCCTCATTTGTTGTTGCTTTATGTATTTTAATAACTTCTTTATTTATTAAATAGACGCAGTTATTCTATCTTGGATTCATCTCTTATATTTTCAAGTTATAAATCCTAAAGATTAGAACAAAGAAGTTATTGGATAGCATTAGCCTTTCTATAGGAAACCGTTTCTCTCACGTGAGGATTCAGTTTATCAAAATAATTTTGCCACTGTCCTGTCTGGTTTGCCTGATACCACCTTAGGAGAGAAATTTTAATGGAGTGCCAGTGATATATTCCTAAACTAGCAAGTTCTTAACGACCCTGGAAAGTGACTGCTTGATTACACTTTAACGGTATTTGCAAATAAAATCACAAGTAATTAAGGGGAAATCTCCAGGCTTTTGAGCAAGTTTGATGCATGATAACTGCCTGATTCAGCTTCATCTAGAGTAATGCTGTGTAGACAAGAGCTACTGAGATCAATAGCAACATAATGATAGTGGCAGAATTAAGTGAGTAACCTGAGAACTGTGTCTTCAAAATGCATGCAGCTGCCACAAGCCAGGGCCACACAGTGCACTCCGTGCTTCCGTCCTAAATGTTCATCAAAAGACGCCCTGCAGGAAAATGGAGTTAGATGCTCTTTATTGCTGATCGTGTCTCTTGCCACATTTATCAGGGAAATTGGATTAGCAGTTGGCAGCTGCAGGTAGACAAGGTTCTGCAGTGATTAAATATGCAGCTTGGCTGCATTTGTTGTGACAGACCTTTAGTAAATTCTACTGTAAGCACCATCTGTCTAATTTGTATAAAGAAAACTTGGTGCTTTAAGCTACTGATAAAGAACTAAATCTGTTGCTTTATCATAAACAAAACTTTTGCTCTAAATTACCTTAAACATAATCTATTAGGTTAAAGCTTTTTCTATCACGATGAATAAATAATACATGCAAAAGTGCTTTCAGGTACTTCATTTTGCAAGTACTGAAAACAAAAACAGTTCAGTTCCTCAATAAAATGCTTAGTATTCTGATCCACAGGGAGATGACACTGTTAAAATATCACTACGAAAATGGTCCAGGACTGCCAAATTCATTTAATTTGTGGTTTTTACTAGGACTTTCTAACTGGCTGGAGTTTGGGGTTTCTTTAGGTTTTTAATATTTCTGAAATACGCTGTTGAAAAACAGTCACAACAAGGGAGCTCTTTCTTTTTAATATACATTTGTAATCATTAGATCTGCATAGAAACCATATGTTTGTTTCTTTACCAGGGAGATCAAATATAATTGAAGATGACTTAAGTAATTATGTGCTTTGCTCTCCTTTTTCCTTCTATTTTTTTTTCTTCTTCCTTCTTCACATTTTTATACGAATAGCAAAAATGTCCAGTATGAAAACAGCAGCTAATTTTCTCCTAAGAATTTCAAGGCTTCTCTTGACAATCTGGTTAAGTACTGCATTGACTGGGCAGCCGCAGTCTCAGTTGTACTTTGTTTATAGTTGTGACATCATCAGATTTGCTAGAAACGCATGGAAAAAAAGGGATCTGAGGAAAAAGCAGTTAAATAGCAACATGCTATCTTTAGCTGGTTTGTAGAAACTCCATGCTGTTAAATTATTTAAAATCCTTGATTTTCAGCTTGCACACATTAAAAGTTTTCACACTAAGTGCCAAATGTTGCAAACAGCACTTTAACAGAATGATTTTGCTTTGATCCCTGTAGCAGTTCCTGAATAATTTATCACAGGTTATTGCCTTAATTCTGGAGAGGGATAGAGCAATAAAGGCAGATGAAAACACTCCAGTTGAAACACCTTGGGGCCTGCTCATTCCTCTGACACGGCTCTTTTGTTGGAACTATTTAGAGGTTATTAAGACATGTCTCCAGAATTAAGAGTATGCTGTAAGGATGAAGACAGCCATCTTAATTCTAAAGACAAAGCGCAATGACCCTTCACCTTTTTTTTTCCTTTGTTGTTATTATATAGTAGAATTATGAGGGTAATATTATAGCTGCACCCAGTAGTGCCACTACAGTTAAGGGTCTGTCAGACTTTCCATTACAAGCCCCGTTTTGGGGGTGGGTGGCAGGAGTAGTCTCGTCTATTTTAAATTGCATTAGTCAGACACTTGGCACATGTTGGCAAGTCATAGAGGGTTGTGGTTTTTTTCTGTGAATATGTAAATCTTCCGCTCCTTTCCTTTGGAAAATCCATTAAAAAATCTTCTTAAGGGCTTTGATACAAAATAATTGATTTAATTTTAAGTTAACCTATCACTGACACTCGTGGAAGAATATTTCAAAACTAAAATTTGAACAAAACTGTTTCATTATCAAGAAAAGCACTGTGTAAAGCTGCATCCTACCTGTGGGCTCCTCTTGCTATGTTCCTTGTGTCTGCTGCTCTTCACTTCTCACCTGACTCGCTCTGCAGTTGCCGGTGGTGTTATTAACCGTCACTTTGCCCCAGCAGTGGTTGGTGTTCAGTTGTGAACAAAGCAGTCGCTTCGTGTGTTCTTCAAATCACTCTGTTAAGTTTGCAAGGCACTTCAAATCCCACAGGAAGACAGACAAAAAGTAGATGTATAAGTGTATAATGTTGCTTGTCATTAATAAATTTCATGCATACAAATGCTATTTGAAAACGCTTAATGGACTAAAACTAGGCTGTCTTGGGATTTTAGGGGTTTGGGGTTTTTTTTTGTATTAAATGTAAATTAAGCAAGCACGGAATCTAGGGTGGGTTGTTTTTTTTTTCTCCTGTTAGAGTTCAAACTCAACCAGCGACTTAAATTAATCAGGATTTCTCTCGGGATTCTGTAGGCTCTTATACAGGCTTTTTGGATGTTACCAACTGTAGGTGGTGTTATTTTATTGAGTTCTGATGGATAGTATCTGAACCTCTGAGTTTGGAGTGATGTTATATGAAAAGATTGTTACGGTACTTTGTAGACTGAGGTAATTTATGAAGAATAGTGTGGTTAATGGTATAGGCTTTTGAATACCAACACCTGAATTTAAAGAATAGCAACCCAAGAAACCTATTTTATGTAGCAGTTGTTCTCCTTTCTTTAGAATTCAAGGTCAAATGGTGTTTGTGTAGGTTCCCAGAAGCCTGGGACCACAGTTTAAAGGAAGTTGCACATCTACTTTTATTAGTAGTTTCTAAACTCTCACAACCAAACAGTTTCTTATATTCATTTGCAAAGAGTGTTCTCTTACGACGCGTTGTTTTTATAAAGACGGAAGAATCATGTTAGGGGTTATGGGCTTGGCTGGTTGTCTTTTTCTGATCTATGTTTTAGTGACCACCATAGGATGGTGAGCTATATCTCTCTGAGGACATCCTCAAACAAAGGCAAGTTCATCTCTTGCCAGGGACTGTAGCTCCCTTCTACGCTGCTCTTGCCTTTCCTTGATGCAATCTTGCTTGTGTCCTTTTTTGTGGCTAGAATGGGTGAAGGAACCAAGATCAGTCTGGAGGACTTCCACTTCCTTCTCTGTGTTGTTGCATCTGTGTATCCCTTCAGAAGGAAGTACAAAGCGTTGCTGCCAAGTTTTTTTTAATTCTTTACATTTTGGCCACTGTGTCTGCTGTACAGTTATTTTCTTTGTTGACAAAACAGCACACAGAATATGAAAATAGAGATTAATATAAAGATAAAGTAACAATTTTATATTGCCTCTTCTTAGTATTGAACACTTCCTCTCTAGCGATTTCAAAGTCCCATTAAAGTTAATGAGAGTTGAGACCTCTGAGCATCTTGCAAGTTCAGGCCATTTCGATGCACAACAGAAAGGAAATGCAAATATTAAAATACTCCTAGCAACCTCACTAGTGGTTTGTAGAGAACTCAGTGTATCCTTGGATAAATCCATGTGCATGCCATCCAAGTCAATTGGATTAATGGGTCTGTATGGGAAAAGTAGAAATTAGCCCTTGTGTAAGACCACATGTAGCAGTTTAACAAGGCATCGGCCATGGTTTGCCATTTATGTGATCGATTTAAATTGATACATGAATCTTATCTTTTGTGTTTCTTAGCACTATAAATATTACAGTGTTGGCACCACGTGGTACGTTATTGAAAACTCTAGATTTGAGGAGAGAACTCCTCACTGGGTTTTTTGCCATGTTTCTATGATTTTTTTTTTGCCAGACTCTGCAGTACTGTGATCTTTTATTATGAAGAAAGAAGTACAAAACCCTACATGCAACACAAGGATAAAATTTATTAAAACTACTTAATTGTGAAATAAAGAATAGTTATGTCTAAGTAAATGGAAAAGTTTGTTTATATTGTTAAAATATTTTTCAGTCGCTACTGCTTCTTATTCAAACCTATTAATTATCCTGAAAACATCCCTTTAGTAGGGGCTAATTGTGCATCAAATGTTGTCTGCATTTGAGCTGGATTTAGAAGCCACGCTTCAGTCATTAAAGGGAAAAAAAATGCATCTCAGAACTAAAGGTTAATACAGACAGAGATCTGCATGGTTGTCTGTAAGCAAAAAAAGTCAATTTGTGAAGAAAACTAACTTGGAAAATTACTGTTAAAAATGTTAAAATAAAAGTACAATGAGAATCTTGGTACAACCTTAATTGTAGCCTGTTAGGAGTATCAATCTTACACCTCATTCAAAACATTACAAGCTTAAAGTAACGTTTTATTGTTATTGTTTCTTTAAATATATGAATACAGGAAGCACTTCTAAACTTGACTACGGAGTATTCATATATTATGTTTTAATTTGCATTATTCATTAGGATAGCATATCGAATAACCAAAAGCATTTCCTAAGCCTTTTGCTAGTGTTATCACTATAAGACTTGGAGAGATCTTGTTTGTTAAAAAGAATCTTTGTGGGTTTTATTAAAGAAAAAAAAAAGATTTGAGCGAGACATTTAAACTAATGAATCAAAATCAGATATGTGGTCATTATTGGCTGATTATTACTCCATCTGCTCGGTGCTAACGTGAAAATCAATTACTGTGTCTCTTTCCCACTGACAGCGTATGTTGATCGGGCTGGCAAGGGATCTTCGCGGGATTGCCTTTGCGCTGAACACAAAGACCAGCTACACCATGCTGTTTGACTGGATGTATCCTTATTACACTGTGACAATACCAGCTCTGTGCACAGAGGGAGACCAGGCCCCTTGCATTAGTTTAATAGTATGGCACAGTGGGGAAGAGGAAACAAAGCTAAATGAACTAATGTGTAATCAGCTAAAATTACAGCACAATGGCAACCATGCAGTTAACTGGGAGGGACCACAGAGAGGTCACTTTTTTGTTGTGTCACACTACTAATCTAGAAAACATATCCAAGTGGTTTTCTTCCCTTCATAAATCCCTCATGTTTTCATCAACAAAAGCTATGTCTTTAACTCCAAACACAACGTACCTGCGTTTAGTTTAACATCAGAAGTACTTAAAAACACTGTACAAGTGCTATCTGGGGAGACTTCTCGCTCTCGTATGAATCATGTCTTTAATTTAGTCAGTTACTTTCTATTTATGTCAACTCTATTAATATCGTAACACCTGCAGTCTTCTTGATCTAGGAGAAAATGGACGTCTGAAAACAAAACCAAAATCTTTAGATTGTAGTTTTCTTCAGTAAGTAATTATAATGGAACTTTTTTTGCTTTAAATATTGCATGCATTTTTGTGCCAACAAATACAATAATACTCATGGGTGTTTTCTTAATACTGTAGAGAAATGTTTTGTATTTTTATAAATACGGTAGCTGTAATTCTCTCTTCAGCACATAGTCATATTAGTAACAAATAGCTGGAATATACAGTGAAGTAACTATGAAAATACTTGTGTTATAATTTAGATCTCACAACGCTATGGAAGTTAATTGTGTACTTGTTTATTTTATGGACAGAAAAAATAGCATTCAGGTGAAATTACATGCTTTACTAGAAATCAAGCGTTTAAAAATATTTTTATTTCAAGTAAATAATGAAACCCTACTGTTTACTAATAATCTTCCTGGTTAAGAAAGAGGAATGCATCGGTGTAGAACTGCAACTAGGAAATTAGCCTTTAAGGACTGAAAGGCTGTGCAGCAGAGCCATCTGATAGATGTCCTTGCGTGGTGGGTAGTAGAGTCCTTATGACCATTCAGATAAGCCTTATTTAAGACATTCACAGGCCTGCAGTGATTCTGTCTGTGTGCTGGCTCAGCTTGCAGAAAGTAAGTCAAGAACGTAATCACCGTAATCTTTATTTCTCTTAAAATCGGTGGAAAGCATCTCTCAATTTCAGTTATAGAGGACTGGATGAAAACAAAACCAAACCAAATAATAAAACAAAACCAAAACAAACAAAAAAACAGCAAAAACAACAACCGCAAAAAAAAAATCACAGGAAAAAAACCCATAACAAAAAAGCCCAAACTGCTGAAGCCAGACTGTGAATTAGCATCTCATTTTATAGTGGGCACCAGTGGGTACATTTAACTTCATTAGTATTGTTTGTGCTTGTGTTCCCTAAAACTTAATGATAAAATGAGGAAGATGTGTAAAAGCAGATCCATTTCAAATTCTTTTTACTTTGTTTTTCCTAGTACAGAATGAGTATCTCGCTCTTCTGTGCAGAACTGTAGATCTCCAGTTGTAGGAGGAGGGATGAGAGAGATTTACCTCCTCTCCATTTGGAAGAAATGGATTCATCCACAGAGGTGTTTGGGTTTTTTTATACAGGATCCAGGATATGTGATCCTGAGGACCCTTTCCTCTTTTTTTTTAAATTAATTTATACCTTCCAGTTTTTGAATTACGGTTATGTCAAAAACTAAAGCTTCCAACTTTAGGATTTCATTATTCTGTATTCACAATAAAAATAGATTGAAATGTAGCTTTGTGGGGAACTCAAAGCTCAGTCCTTCTCAGTTTCTTTTCCCTTGCTCAGGTTCAAAATTTTTTTTCCTCCTCACCTTTGTCTGCAAAGGATAAGTGCTTGCTTCTGTTCAGTGGATTTCACCTCATTAGACTGAGTCCAGCTTCATCCAGGTATTGATCCAAAGCATTATAGCAGAATAAGCTGCTATTATCACAACTCTTATTTACTGTATATAAAGACAGAAAGGTAAATGGGAGGAGAAGGGAGGGTCAGATGCCAATTTTATCCTCTAAAGTTTAAATATCCTTCGATTAATGTATTTCTTTTGTCGTTTCCAATATATAATCAGAAAATTGTTTTAATAGTAAAGAAAAGCTATTTTTCAGGCAGATTTTACTCCGTTATGTTTGAAGCCCTAGTATTTCAATATTGAAAATGGCAAATGTAGAATATTAGCCAAAATAAATCTGATTCACTTGCATTGGTTCAATAAATGAGAAATAGAGGCAAGGGATAAAAAGCTACGCTTTTAATATACTATAAGATGATGTTTATTCTGTATTTGAAGACTATCAGGAATAGTCACCTGTAAATTGTTGGTAGAAGAACGTGTTGATAAGCTTTTGAACTGATTGCAGGGAGTATTTTTGGGTCTAAGCCCTGTCCGTAACAGAACATATTACACTCAGGAATCTCTCACCTGAGAAATTCTTCTTTTTTTTTCTGATTGCGGTATTTAGGATTTCAGTTTTGTCCAGTAGATGGCAAAAATGAGCAGAAATTATTCCTGTTAAGTCCTTTTGGTCTGGGGAGTGGGGGGGGCACGGGAGACACCGTTGTATCTTTTATTTTACCATTATGATTGAGTTATTAGGCTCATGGTTTAGAGGTGAATCGTCAGGTATGCTGAAGCTGTGCTAGATTGCCAAATAGGGCTGTTTTGTAGCAGGCTTGCTTATACTAATTGAGTTTCTCTAGCAAATCAGGCTCCTTGGAAAAAGGCCAAAGGCTTTTCATAATTGTATTGACAAGAAAATGAATATGATAAATGGCGTTCATTCAGCTGAGACAAGATTTATAGTTTTCCTCTGGCAAGGGATGAAGAGAAAATACTTATAATAATAGTAAAATTTGTTTTAAAGTTGTATTAGGCTATATCTCAAAAGACTTCATTAAAATATTTCCAAATATTTTAAGCAGCTTCAGGTGTTAAGTATAGCATCTTCCTCAAGTATCCAGTAATGAAAGATGAAGAAAAACATCCCACAAACAAAACAAAACAAACTCAAACCCTGGATATGAAAGTCATTTATTCTTCCTGAAATATTGATACGTCAAGCTGTCAGTGATGATTCCAGTACCGCAGCTCTGGAAAGTTTATTTGCCTTTTGTATTCATAACGTGTGGTCTCTAATTTGTAGGTCAGTCCTGAACATGCAGGTGTGGCCTGAGAAAACTTGTATACCAATGGGAGTAGAATCAAAACCTGTTTTTCTTAACAGTGATGATGTCATTCTGCTCTTTACTTCAAGACTGCCTGCATAAGAAGTTGCACGGTTAATCTGTTTTCTTCCGTCCTAATACTGGCCTGTAGTCTAAGGTCCTTGGTCTCGCAGTGGGATAAGTCCATGGAGATTCAGTTATGAGTCCAGGGTAATACCCACTTTCTCCTTACTTTTATTTGGTGTTTCTTACAGTTAAGTGGTAACCCATGAGCAAATTTTTCTGTGTTCCTCCCAGTTGATTCTCAGTATTTAATGATTTCTGTTGTCTGTGACAGAAAAAGGTTGCAATAAGAAAACGGATTGCAAGAATAAAATGATTAGGTTGACTCAGAGATGCAGTCAGCTAGATGGCACACGATGGATGTATGTGAGTGCATGTAAAAGTATCTACGTGTATAGATACATAGGCCCTAAGTTTATAGAAAAGTGATCTGCCATTGAGATGTTTTATCTCGTAGTCGTTTAAAAGTTGACCTGGATATTCAGATGTCTGATCATATGGTGCTTCAGATGTGGAACACTAGAACAAGCAAAGCACTAAGGTGGTTTGTTCAAAATTTTGAAGAACTAAATTTTTAAGTTTTTATGTTCTTAGGATTCAGAATTAGGTACAAACTTGAAAGAGTTTGTAGAGCTGTAGAGATTGAGGTTTCCTAATCACAAGAGAAGAGGAGAGCACGTTTTCTGATGAAACAAGGCTACCCGATCAGTAATCTGTTTGTAATAGCTGCTTCTGCCAATTGCATTGATTTAAACCTCAGTATCTTTTTTTTGCAGTTTGAATACTTTTGAGCTTGAACTGGCTGGTCACGTTAAGTTCATGACTTGGCCAGATTCCTTGAAGCTTGTGGTTAAAAACAGTTAAAAATAATACTCTGTTTAAAGCCAATGTATTCTACTTTATTGGATTTATAAAAGAATTAATAAATTGCCAAAGCCTTTGTGTTGCCCCTAGCATTTATGAAATTTGACTACAGTTTCCAGTCTTTCCTTGTCAGTGAATATGAACTCAATGCTTAAGCTTTTGAATGAAGATACCTAATCACATTGGCCGCGTTAGCTGCCTTTGATATTGCTGACTTACATTTTGGTTGTAGGATATGGCTGTCAGGTTACTCTCTTCACTATGAAATCTGAAAAGGCAATTGTCTTCTAGCCTGTGAAAGGCTTTCTAGCCCACAGTGGGGCTTTGCAGCATTTCACCATCTCCCATCGGTGTACGTGGGGTTAGTAGGAAGGCTAAGGAAGAGGCATGGCTTAGGAGAATTAATAGCACAGTTCAGTGCTGTACCTTACGTGACATTTGCTGCCTCTTGAGAGTATTGACCACCCTCTGTTGAGAGCAAGCTGGACTGGAAGCCCACCTCAGAAAGAATGGAACTGGCATTAGTGAATTTTTAAAGGTATGAGATGGCATGGATCATCTATACCCTTTGAGTATGTTTTAGGTAAGTGACAGTTGAATTTAAATCCCAGTTTATTACTGGGAAATGGGTAACTCTCCATGGTATGTTTAACTCTAGTTTGTTTGATTTTAAAATGTGAAGAACCCCATAAAGGAGCAAGAAGCAAGATCTAAAAATATATTTTGCCTCTCAGCTTCTTTGCTATGTGTAGTTTAGCCCTGCAGCGCCTCAAGCAGCTGGCAGCAAAACTGCACGAGTCTTTAGGTGCCTTAGACAGACAGCAGTAGCCAGAATGCCTCCCATCTGTTTGCACGGCGCTGTCATTCATCAGTAGTGCTAAGTCTGATGACTGCAGCCTCCATCAGAAGAGCTGTGTCGGACTGAGACTTGACTGTGTCTGCATATCCTAGAAGCGTCTAAACCTCTGTGTGTTTCAGACTTTTATTTCACAATCCCACGCTGAGTGCTGTACCTGAATTTTACTTTGTAAGATTCACAGTAGTTGCCTTTATTTTCTGAATAAGCAATAGTATTTTCTATTTCTAAGTCACTATTTCTCACATGACTAAATAAAGCGGAATTCTATTATATGAAACAAAGTTTAAAATGAAAAATAAGTTTATTATTAAACAAAACCATTGACTAGATTAGTTAGATCATGTTAATAGGAAATTGTGTAGTTAAAATTTCTTGGTTCCATCTAAAAAAACCCCAACTGTTTAATTCTTTTTCAGTCAAGCTGTGCTACCTCATTTTCATTTACCAGTCTGCATTCTTACCCAAATAAACTCTTGTTTTCAGCGTATTGGGGAAAACTAGGGGTCAGCTTTGTATTAAATCATTGCATGAAATACTCTGATACAGTCAGTAACCCATACGATTTTATTTAAGTTACGTTGCACAGCCTACTGAACTTACTTTTTTTCTGTGTTGCATTGTTTTAAGCCCTGCTTTAAAAGAAGGGATCTCTCCTAGGTGCTGATGAGCAAACAGCTCTGCTGAAAGGGTTCTTAGAAATCTAACTTTGCTGGTCTTCCCTGCACAGTTTTTCTGAATTCTCTTCTTGAATGCTCTGGAGGCGACTTTGTACAGTGAAGTTGTTCCCAGCTATATGGAGCAAATATAATATATATGAGGTGGTGCTGAAATTTGGAGCCCAGGATTTCCTAGTATGTAAATTTGTGGTGGTTTTAAATTGTTCTGTCATTTCTGACTTACGCCATTCATTAAAAATCCAAGCTAGTTCTTATGTAGGTTAGCTTCACATGTACAAACTGCTTTCCTTTTCCTTCGTTGCAGCTCTAGTATATTAACTATTTAGTCTTTTAAGCAGAAGCTTTCTTAAATTTATAGGTTCTGGCAGTGCCTCTGTCAGAATGAGCCACCAAGGTCTGTATCTGGCCCACCCAGCTAATGTTGTCCTACGGTTTTAGGGGAGGTTGTCTCGCGAGATGTTGTTTTATCCGTATACTCTTTAACTCAGTCTGGTGAAGATACCCTGCATACATTTCTGTTCTGCAAAGAGCTATTGAACTGTGGTACCGGGAACCTGCGTGTACAACCCCTATCTTGAAGCTGATGGCAGAATTTATGCAAAACAGGTAAGAAGCACGTGAAAATTAGGTAAGTGATGAATGCTGCAGTAGTATGCATTCTCTGTTCCATCTTTCTATGTTTTGTGTATCCTTGTGTTGTCTAACGTTGACTTTAAGACTGCTGCTTTTGTATTTTGGAACAGAATTTGCAAGCAGAACTTAGCTTTCAGTGTCATTCTGTTGTTTTACCAAAATGGTAGATACTACAAGATCAGCTGGTAAGGATTAATTACAGGAATATATAAGAGAGACTACTGTGTTTTTATATTCAGTGTTAGTGGAAATGTATGGTTTAACCAGGGGTAAATACCAACTCCATAATTAAATATCCGAGAATTGTCTGCTGTCGAGATTTGCTGCAGGCTGAATTTTTGCCTAAAGCCAAGCAGCATGCGTGTGTGCTGGTAAAACTACAGCTCCCTTTATGGTTGCTGCTGCAACTCAGCTCTGCCAGCTAAAAGAGGAATGAAGGGTATCTAATGCAGCAATATTTATATCAGCATGCAGGTAACTTCTCCCACATCTAAAACCTCTGTGCGCTAACCGGAAAGGCCTCAGAATGGTTCTGGGAGGTGAGTTCAGTACTTGACATTGCAGGTGTTAGACTGAAATTCCTGGTTTACCATAACTAACAGAACAATTCATTTTGGGAAGTTACCATAACGCTTGGATATACATACTGTACTGCCCAAAGTGAAAAAAGATTTTTAAACAAAAAATTGATACTTAAAAGTCTCTGTGCTCGCTGCCTTCATGATTGAAGTAATTGAGAGCTTTCAGCAAAGAAGTAAATGTTCTCATCATTTCTCATTTTGCCTTGTAAATCAAATTTACAAGGAAACAATTTGAAATATTTGAAATTTGAAAAAAATATTTTGTTTAATATAATGACAGGAAATTGGTGCCTTAAAGTTCAGACCTGGCTCCCAGTCAGATGCTGGTGCATGTGATGTGCACTTAATCCCCGAATGGCTATACAAACCTTAAGGCAGAGGTCCCTGTTTCTTGTTTGTGTTGACTTGCTTAATGTGACTTTCCTTCAGCTTGTGTAGGTTAATTATGTCTTTTATCCTGGTAGTAGTATAATAAATTGCTGGGAAAAGTTTAGCCTGTTTCTATTCATGATGCGGTGCACAGGCAGTATGCTCTAATAGTGCTGCAACTTATTTCAATGAGGAGATTGTTAATGTATAAACATAGAACTCTAATAAAGGTAAATAAAAGCAAAGAACAACTGGAATAATAAATCTTATTAAAAAACAGTTCTTCAAGCTACTTTCCATATTCATGTTATTCTTCTACCTATTGGTATTCAGAAAATCTGCCTTGTTCCCTTTAGAGAACATCATCTGGGATGGTGTTTTTTCAGGAGTTGTGTACTGCATTAGCTTTTACAGGTTAGAATGCATTATACAATATAATTTGACATGGTTAAAATATGTTACAGAGTATCAGATTGTGTATTATGCCACTCCGATATTGAGATGATGTGCTGGTTTTGGTGTTTTGTCTCTGCCAGCGTTCTGTGCATATGGAATACACAAGTGTTATACCAGGCACATTTTAAACCTGGGTAAACACCCAGGTTTGCAGCAAAGACCCTGCAAAGAGGGACTCAGACCAAAAAAATGGACTTGCGGCAAAGAAGGATGCCTACTGCTGTCCCTAGGATAGGGGTGATAAAAGGAGCCCGTGTTTGATCAAAAGTGGATGACTACCAAATAGGTCAGCCAGAAAGTACTCTGGTTTACATCACTCAGCAATGACCCCTTTCCCTGTCACTCCAGATAAACACTAAGAGTCAGTTTTGCTAAAGTTACTTAAAGCTTAAGAGCTATATTCGAAGTTAACTTTTAGGCCTGAACTTGGAGTTGGACTTCTTTATCACAAAGCCAGGATGGAAAGATGCAGCAGGGACTTCAGCAAGGACTGTGTTATGTTTCCGGATTGGGAACGAAGTGGTTCTTGTTGGCTGTGATAATACACGTGCATCAGGGAAGGCAGTGTGGCGCGGTCTTCTTCAGGGCTCAGGGTAAAAAGCGTGCACTACAGTTTACACTGGGAGAACTGGCTTGTCGTTGCTACGGATTTGAAGTAGCAGAATAACCAGTGGGGATTAGTTTATCTTAAAAGCTACAGAGATGCGGAAGCAGATTATAAATTACTCTGACCGCTTTGGTTATGGAACCTTTGGAGCATTGTTGTGAACTGCACATGGACACGTGATGTTCCCCGGTCACTGAAAGCTGTGTGCGTATTGTCTGGTCACCATTTCTGGTTAACATTGCTTGGTCTTCTGTCATAGGATTGTTTCTTTGGCAACACACGGAGATAACTAGAGTGCATGTTATTGGAGTGAAACCTAGAATTAGTTTATTAAATAATTGTACTTTGTAATCAGCAAATGGTTTTTTTTGTTTTAGGAATGAGTCCATTGCAGCCTTCTGCTTTGATGACGATCTGAATATTTTTGCTGTTATTTTCTAGATCACAACGCTTAAATTTTGATGTATCATCTCCAAATGGAATTCTTCTCTTCAGAGAAGCTAGTAAAATGATTTGTACATACAGTAGGTATTCATTAATGTTTCCTCTGCAGTGTAATTCTTTGCCTGTCTTGTGATATAAAACTCCTGTTAGTTCATGTTCCTGAGCACTGGCGGGTTTGTGGAATACGTGGCAGACCGTAACGTGTCGCAGCCAGTGTCATCCCGTTGTAAAGCACAGAACTTCCATGGTAGGCCTTTAGAGCTCATTTACTTTCACGGATCAAGGTTAATTCATGTAGCACTGTTGCTTGTATTGCTTTATAAACTTGAATGCCTGTCTTCTAGCAACTGTAAATGTATTTCAGCAAAGATACCAATAGTGACGAGGTGTTTGATCTAGGCTACTGATTGATGGGTGTGGGTTGATTTTATGTATTCAAATTATATTGCAGCAGTTCCAAAACGGCTTTACCCTAGAGCACTGTTAAAGTGTTTATAATAAGTTGCTCCATTTTACTACTCCCACTCACGCGTGCAACTGCAACAGGTCTTTGACATCAGCAGTTTATATTACACTCCAGCTAGCTTTGTAGCTTACAGTTTTGTTTTCTAACTATTTTGAAAGGAATATTACCAAGTTTTTGTAGTGCAACCTCATTTGTAGTTTGTATCAACAGGGAGGGGCATAAGATGCCCTTTCTTTTAAACAAAGAAAATTGGTGCATAAAATTTGTTTTTGCTGCATTCAGGTTGCTTTTTGGGTCTGGAAACCGCGTGTTACATGGCTGCCTGTAAAAAAACGTCAAATGTAATTTTGCATTTGATCTGTAGGGCATGGAAACGGTGTCTGCGGGATTGCATAAAAGCACTGACTTTAGACAAAAAAAGTTACACCCAAGTGACTCTAACTTCTTGCAAAATAACTTTTCTGTTTCATTTTCAAATATACCATGTGGTAAGCTGGCATATTTTTTTCAGCTATGTTAATAAGTAAGTTTGTTAGAATGATTAAGCAAAATAAAAATAATGTTTGAAAAGATAAAAGGTAAACTTTTAGATTTTACTACTTGATTACTGTTAGCCTTTGTAATTAATTGCTCTAAGCTTTCTTTTGATGGTTTAAAAAAAAAAAATCAAGTGTAGTCATGACGATGCTTCAACCCTGCTTGTCTTATGGTACCTGATCCCACTGCAGTTGTATTTCCCTTTTTAAATTTTCCGCCTTTACAATCCTTTCTGCACTGCTGAAAAACATACCGTGTTGTTGGGCATCCATTCATTTCACTTGTTGACATCAAGATTCTGAACCTTGCTGAGTGAACCACACCAGTTGGTTTCAACCTGCTTCGTTCTTAATCATGCCTTTAAAACACTCGGTAAAGAAACCTTTTTGCTTTCACTTGCAGCTTTTATGGTGGATGAGTGTGTGTTGGTGGAGTTGATAAAATTCTCAGCCCTAAAGTATTTGTAGCACTTGCACATAAGGACCAGACAACATTTTCTGGCTCATGCTACAATTTAACTATGCAATGTAAAAGGAAATTTCAGGACAGTGCAGATTTAAGATTTCAAACGAAGCAGTGGAGCCACAGAGCCTGTTGAAGCCTGTGTACTCTTGCCTCTTTGTTAAATTATGTGAAAGGCACTTAGGGAAGTGTGCCATAGAAAGAAGTGAAATGACCATAAGAGCTTTCTCTCATGCTTCTCTTTTGTGACTTTCATGTCATCCTTCCATTGGAAAGCAGTTATTTTATTCAACACAGGTTTAAGAGGAGAACTGTTCTTAACGTCCTCCAAAAAATAATTTAAAATCACCTATCAACTAAAAGTGGAGGGAAGATGTAGATGTGGGAGAAAGGCTTCACTCAATATGTGTATGGGTTGTTGTTTTTTTCATTTTCCTTTTAAAACACTGATATTATCATCATTGTTTGAAAGGGCCCCATCAGCGATCTTTCCTGTACTTAGTTGTGACATTTAAAGGTATTGTGTAGGTTTGCTTTTCTGTGAGGGATTGCCAGTATCTGTTCTGGGACTGGACTCACTGCAGAGTCAACACCAGAGACCTCCCAGTGCAGTCGGATCAGTTGGCCACCTAGAGCAGAGATTTCACGTAGCCCAGCTGGCTCTGCGCTGGCACAGATGGGCAGCGCTGGCCTGGCTGTCGCTGTGGCGCAGCTGTGGGCACGGCAGTGAACATCCTAGATTAGCGCATTTCAAACGGCTACAGCTATTGCTGAAGTGGCCACTGGCTTCCAGTCTGGGAAGGTTTTACTGCCCACTAGAAGTATTTCAAGATACTACAGTTAATCAGCTTTGAATAATTGCTGTTAATGTTTTTAGCTTTTCTTGTTAATTACTAGCTTATGAGATTTCCGTTCCAGTGTATGGAACGATGTAACTACTGGAAATGTGTTGTAAGGAGTCATTACTTCAGTTATGTGCCATCTTTGGAACATACGAATTCCTATAAAAATATTGATATTAAGGGACTTTGCATTATTTTCAAATGCCTTCCTGAAAATTTTAATGCCTAAATTGTGCTTTTAAGGAAAACAATACTTTCTAATTTTTTTTAAACTGTGTTAGTCTTTTAAGCATATGTACTCTTGGCAGACATCTGGGGGAAAATACAAGTGAACTAAGTGATGATCATAAAATTCACTTTGGCAGTGTTTCCAGCCCCGCATTCTGAAAAACTGTGATTCAGTTCAAAGAATGAATACACACATGCCTTCAAATCCTTGGCTTCAGTTTTCAACTTCTCTGCTTTACTATTACTGCAGGTAACTTAAAATTCTGAAAATAGTTGCAGTTTTCACATTCAGTGTGACTTTATGGCTGAAACGTTAGAGAGAAGTAAGACACACACAGTAAATGTCAAGAGATGCAACAGAGAGCACATGCTCATTTATCTTACCAAGTCAGCCAAACCTCTTGTTATGTGCCTGCAGTTCATAGTGAGCTCCTCAAAGCTGATCAGAAAGATTCTTGAAACTCAAGATAGATTTTCTTGAAATCTAAACTACAATCATTGCCTTTTTAAACTAAGAGAAACACAAGGCAATGACATGAGGCAGAAGGGAGAAAATAGAAGGAACCATCTCTTTCCTTCATCACACTGTCCTTTCGGGAAGATTCTTCCTTTCGGTCTCAGTTTCAGTTAACCCATTGATGAAGTGGGTTGCCATAAACTCTGCTCAGCCTCCTCTCATCCCTGAGAAATTATTCTTTCCATCACCTGGAGACCTGGCTGTCCTTGCTCCACTTGGCAATCCTGTCTGAACCCAGGCTTCCACTTCTGCTTTGTTACCTCTCACGTCTCCTCCTTATCGTGCCCTGGACAGTGTGAGTTTCCTTCCATAGCTCAGCAGCAATCCACGAATGTAGCATACAAACAGTAAATGGAAACACAGCTTAATTGTATTGTACTTCCATTGGTAAGTGAAATTTAAATTTGGTTTAGAACAGGATTTTTCCTCTTCCTCTCTCACATGTAAAGATATACAGAAAATGCTAATAAAAAGTATTATTCTCAGAAATTTCACCTGTACCAAACTAAACACAAAAATTTCCAGTTAATGGCTTAGGCCCACCGGGGCTCGTCTTGCTATATAAACCTATAGGTACATAAAAATGTGATCTTAAATACGTCTCTGTCCTGCCAACATTTAGACAAGGAATTAGTAACTGAAACGAGGTGGCATCAGGTGATTCTCCTCCCCAGCGTCAGAGTTCACGTAATGTTGATTATTCCTACGTCTGGACTACACTGGTCAAAGCAGGTTTGGACAATACAGAGATGCTTTGCAAATACGTCCTTCTTCAGGTGATGTATATCATCTAGAATTTGTGTGTGGATTTGCTTTGTGTAAAGCCTGTACTGTTGTTTACATGGGAATAACTTTTTCAAACAAACATCTGGTGACCTAGAATGTCACTTCCATTCCATCTACAATTTTGCCAAAGTTTGTGGCGTACATTTCTGTCCGAATGGTACCTCCATTTAATATCGATGTATACTGTAAGGTCTTTGCTTGGGCTAAAAATAAGAGGAGGAATAAAAGGGTAGAGCAGTGTTTCTGGGGTGTGAATCTATGTGAACACTTGTGAGTATGGATGCTGAAATGGCTTTAAGTCTGGACTGAAGCATGTACTCTTTTTCTCCTCTAGACTGGCGTATAGGGATTGCATGTATTTGAGTGCAAAACAGAAATGAAAAACAAAACCAAAATGCCTGTTTCAAAGATGCTCAGCATTTACAGTTATCAGGGAATGAAATTTAAAATATGAGTTATTTTTATTTTTTAAAATAAGCATCTCAGCGAGTGCTTAATTCTTCTTAACAGATCCAGCTTTGTGATTAGGGTAGTACTAATGTGTCCTGTCCTGCTCATTTATCACTGATACGGTGCTGAAGACATTTCTAAGATGTCTTTACAAGTGCTGTGTGTTCAAAAACTGTAAAGCCTGGCGTAGGATGCAAAAAGCACTTAGGTAGTCAATTATCCCTGTTAGGACTCTGCAGCTGCTTGGCAAGGGGTCTTGTGTCTTGTCCATTATGGCTAGAGCCAGTCTGATGGAGTGAGAGAGTGATTTAAAATAAACAACTGAGAGGAGAAAATTGAAAGGAGTTGGAATAGTATAGTCTGCCATTCTTCATCCCAATATATTTCACTTTTAATTCTGTTGGTACAAGTTTCCTTACTATGTGTTTTTGAACTCCCAGTTGTATAGGAACGATGTTCCAGTGTATCTGGGGATCATCTATTTTTGTTTTGTGGTTTCTTTACATTTTAGTAAACCTCTTCCCTTTCATTACAGGAGACTGACATAAAAATAATATTTTCAATATGCTGTTTTTATTTATCTACATTCTGTCATGATATACTTTGATGTAAGTTTTTAATTTTGCTTCAGCTTTCAGCTGTTGTAGCAGTTACTGCTCAAGGTCAGCAATGAGGTTAGCCACAGTAGCACAAAACAATTTCCTGTTCTCACAGGCCAGGTAGCATTTGGATGTGGATTAAATTTTACCACATTTCCAGTAGCCAGACACGATTATTTCTAATGAGCTTTAAATTGCTTCTAGAACATATATTTCAGAAACTTGGTGTGGTAATCCATTCAGTGCCAGCAACTTCATAAGAAAACAGTTGTTCTTCAGAACTTTGGTTAAACGGATTCTTGCTGTAGAACAGGTATTTTTAATCGGCAGCTTGCTTTAAAAGCAGAGTGCTCACTGGTCGCGGTTGCTGTTGGTCTGCTCTCCTCTTGCAGTAGTGGTTCCAGAATATATTGCTCTTCATTACTGACTCAGATTTCATAATCGGTTTCTTTTGGCAAATTTGTCTCGGCACTATGCGTGCTCATTGTGCTGATTTGAGAGGTTTTATGCATGTTTTGTTGTGGAAGCTTAAAAAAATTAGTTTTTGAAGGTTGCTCTCATCTTTATGATTAATGGCTTCCTTTTGTTTTCTGTATACGGCCTCTTCTTTATACTGCCCTAGCATTCTGAGTGCCTGGAAAGCATGCATTCAAAACCATCTTTATGGGGCAGTGGTGAATAATAAAAATAGGAAAGGGGGAAAAGGCAAGAAACACTTTTTCTCCATAAATGTGATAAACTTTCAGAACCTTTGTTTAATCTCACCAAAACCTTTTTTTATCTTCATCTAATTCACACATGGTAAAACGTGATTTAGTTGTATTATTATACGTAGCGCTTATTGGACTGGAATCCAGAACAAGCCCTGCTTAAATGAAACTCAGCCATAAGGAAATCATTTTTGCATTATAGCTTCTACTGCAAGAGCAATTAAGGAAAACTGGAATGGAAGCTGCCTGTCCTGACGTGCTCCCACATCTCGGAGGGAGTGAGGGAATGAGCTGTGCACCGAGCTCTGGTGCGTGTTGCCTGCGGGATTCTGAGGGATGGTGATGTTAGCTTCAGTCAGAGCATCCCACTTTGTTTTTAGCTGGCTTTGTATTCCCCCTCTGCATGCACACGCTTTCTTCATCCAGCTTCTCTGTTTATGTACTAAGGAGTCTTTCAGTAATTAAATGCTTAAATTGTCAGCCAAATTCAAGCCCTTATTTCCTATCTAGCAGTTTTGCTCAATACCTTTAAAAACCCCTTTCTTACTCCTGTCAGAATTTTGTATCACCTCTGAGACGTAGAGTTTATAATTTTTGTAAGTGACGTTGCTGTCAAATGCAGGGCAGACAGTTGTATTAAAGGAAATTACTGAGAATTTTGAAAGTCCATCTATTTTAAGATTGTGTGATACAATTTTTCATGCATTAAGAAGAAATTGGTGCAAGTTGGATTATTTTCCACTTGATTTTTAACTCGGTGGTAACACTGAAACTGCACTGATTAGTCTCTACAGAGTTTTCCACAGGTGCTATGAATTTCAAACACAGTGTTTAAATTCAGCGTGTCATAGGCCGCTTTTATGTTGATTTAATTTCTTTAAATTGTTTCTGTTAACAATAGGAGTTTAGGAAATGGTATTTTGGTCCTCCACTGCAGAGATGATAAATGTAAGCATATCCTCAGTAGCTGAGGAGTTGTTCTTGACCTGATTCCAAGTACCTCAGCAAATTAGTTTATGTTCAGTAGTATCCATGGTGTGTAAATATATTCCCCTGAAGCTCCTGCTAAGTGTTACAAGTAGATCATTCTTTTTTCATCCAGTCAAACATAGCACCATGCTTCGTACTTTTTTCAATAACTCATGCTAAAACACTGGTCTTTGTTCTAGCACTGCATCCCTTGAATCATAGGCTGATGGCTTGGGGCACTGGTAACAGGCACCGCGTGGTCTTTCACCTCTGCTGCTCATTTGAAATCAGCTGTTCCCACTCTTAGGCCTTTTTAAAATGAGTCCATGAACACAGAACCATTCTCTGTGGACTCTGTCCACTTGAAAGAAGCAGCTTTTAAGCTTGCACTAGACCCAGAGTCTTCTGCGTTTTCATTAGAAGGGATAGGCACAGAATTCCTCTTATGCCTGCCTGGGGTGAGGACGTGCCAGGAAGCAGGGGCTGTGTCTTCCAATACGGAATGCTTTATGCCGATAAGTGGGTTTAAAGTTTTAATTACAGGGTGATTTTTCGGTGAAGTAATAAAAATGATAGAAGATCAGCGTTAGTGGATACCTCGTCGAATTCACGTTCCCAGGCTGAGGGATTCCTAGGGCTTTTTCGACTTCTTTCCTCATCATCCAGTTTTTCCACTGACTTCCAATTAATTTCCATATTAAGTACATAATTGCCTTGCTGACAACTACTAAGCTCTTTCCATCTGTTGTTGCATGTTACACCGAGTACTTCAAGGCCCTAGGTTTGCACACCATCGTGCTGGGACAGCTCAGCTAGAAACTCATGGCTGTTGCTTTCTGGAATCCAGAACTCTGTCTTTGCTTATTTCTGAAGCCAGATACATATTTGTGCTCTTAAAGTAGACATTTTCAGCGGAGAATATAATAGTGGTGAAGACCAGATCAGGTTTGTTTGCAGCACGCTTGCCTTTCTGTCTTGTTTGTGCCGTAAGAATTGTGTACGTTGGTTACATAGTGGCTTTTGAAAGTAGTGTGCACCTTCCCACTTTACGTCACGGACAGAATTTTGTATCCAATTTTATTTTTTTCCCACAGAATTTGAAATTCACCTATCTCTGTGACTACACTAGGTTTCGTCAAAAAGATTAATGCTAATTAAGATGACCTGGCTGGGATATCTTAAATGAGGCAGTTAGGAACTTAAATGGAGTTTGCTGATAAATTCCATTTACGTTAAATCAATTTAAAGCATTACAATAAATGAATATCCAGGTACACTGGAAGCCATGGTTCACTTTCTGCAATGCTTTACTTTTCAAAGAGGATCTTTTGGATACCAGTTATTTTTAGTAAAATAGTGATTCAGCACCGTTTGGAATGAATTTTGACACGGTAGCAGTCACTGGAATTGTACTCTCTTCCCAGTGACACCGTGTTCATGACTGCAGCATTTGGGGTAGTAGAGGTGCTCGTATGACCATTTACAGTATCAAGAACATTCTGTATTGTCATTAATTATTAATTTTGTTTTAATTAAGAGGACTTGATTTTGATTGTAAGTGGCCATCTTTCTTAGCTAAACATTTGATTCTTCTGCTACCTTCAGTAATTCTAGTGATGCCATTCCCACTTTTTACAGACTCCAGTTACTTTTTCTAAGCAATACCTGATCATACTCAGGATTTTTTAGTAAATCTACTTTTTCTTTACAAGCTGATGGATAAGTTGCCTTGTACTTGCTCGAAGTGGTGAACAACATTAATGTTTTAAACAGTAACTTATGCCTCTCCCTCTTTATACTAAATGATACGAAATGGGCGACACTTTGCATTGGGTGTTTCTAATTACATTATGTAAATTCCTCATTGTCAGTAATCAATAACATTAAGAAAAAGAATTAAAATAAGACAGGTAAATTATTTGTAGGTGGAAATTTTCATGAGTAGAAAGGAGAGCTCTGTGGAGACAGACTCAGTTTAGGCCTCTATATGTATTAAACAATTCTGTGCAATCTATGAGATCTGTGTGATCTCAGGCAAGTTTTTAGGGACGTTTTTTAATTGCCTATTATAAAAGCAAAACTAAGTTGTCATAATAATTACCTCTCTAAACTGGCAATGTTTGGAATCGTAAATAGTTAAGGTAGAGTTTGCTCATTGCTCCTTGATCCAAGTTGTCATCATAGCCATGACAACTAGGTTAGACACTGAAAGCAAGCAGGCCAAGCGTCTGATCTGTAGACTATTGTGCTTTTATTTGTAGGAATACTTTTTAAAATTTACAGTTTTGTGTTATTTTCCTCAAGGTAAAATTACGAAGAATGATGAGTAGCAACAGAGTGAAGACCTGGCACTCGGTTTTTGTGCAGGTCAAGCTTGCCAAGGTTGACATCAAATGGGGTCAACTTAGTAAGGCTGCTTCATGGCAGAAGTGAAGTACTTAGACTTTGCTGTGTTTATTCTACTGTTTTAACTCACTTTCATTAATTACTTAAGGCTAAAAAAAATTATCACAAAGACAAACTAACTCTAGGGTGCTGTGAAGATGAGCATTAAATTATTGCAAGATACTTAGAAAACTTGGTAATGAGGCCTTGTGAATCATTAGATTTGCACAGAGGATTGCAGCAGGATCTACTGCGCTGCTGCACAGTGGATCCAAAAGTCACTGTTGCCTGTTAACAGCAACAGCAAATATTTACAGTTAGCTGTTATTTTTTACATTATAAACATGGATTTTAATTAAAAAGGCATTCCCATCTGTGACTGGTAAAATAGAGGCTTTTGTAATGGACGTATTTGTTTTCTGAGGGGTATATTTAGTGTGTATACATCAGCAACCATCCCAAGAGACCGTCATGGTAATGGATCAAAACCAGGCTTTGTTGCAGCATGAGAAACTATAAGACCATGTGTTGCAACCCTGTTCAGTTTAAAGAATTCATGCTGAATGACCCAGTCATGGTCTGGCTGTACATCAATGTTGGGAAATCCATAGCATATATTTTAAATTTTGCATACTAATTCTTTGGTGGCTTTTAAGCCGTAGTCATGCTTACTTAACAGATTGCATCAACTGCAGAAAGAATTTTTCTTCCAAATAGTAATGCAAATAAAGTTAAAAAAATAGTTTAGATAGTGACATCAAAATATTTTAGATTTGCGGCTGTTTATGTAAGTTTCTTTCTTTCTTTCTTTCTTTTTATGAAAACAGGTAATCAGATCCTCTCTCTTGGGACTTTGTCAAAAGATCAGGTTTATCCGTTGAAACTCAAAGGCATTTCCATCTGTTACTCTGCACTCAAATCTGCCTTATGTGGAAATTATGTCAGCTTTGGCGTCTTCAAGTTGTACGGGGACAACCACTTTGACAATGTACTTCAGGCCTTTGTCAAAATGCTGCTTTCAGTATCCCACAGTGACTTGCTAGTAAGCAATTACTCATCTTGGGAGTCTTTATGTGAAGTATGAAATAACACCACCACAGGCTTTGTATTGTTATAATGAGACAGAGAGATCTAGAAGAGCTCAAATGCAGTCTGCAGTTCAATTACTTGAATTTATTTACATAGTGAAATCTAAAATACAGGTATGATAGAACTGCCACATGAAACAGGAGCTTTTCCAGAATTTTAACTAAGCTTGTCGTGAAAGGGAAAAATGCAGATTTTTTTTTTTCTTTCTACACTTGCAAACCTATTTAGGTTGCCTGCATGCACTGTAAAACATCCTCACGCATTCAGCCACTCTGCAATTAGTTTCAGTCTGTAAATTGTCACCGTGTATTCCCCATAAAATTTAAAACTTCAGTTTTAAAGTACACCATGTTCCCACTTCTCTGTGGGAAGACAACAGATCTTGCGCAGCATCAGCCTAAATTTGAACTGTGACATTTTCTTCATGACACTTTAGTTCAGAACTGTTGTTTTCTTGCAGGAAGGGACAAATTCAGGATAGCTAAAGATGGTTAATACCCAGATTTATGCCTTCCACATAAAGTCCTTGGAACTAAAAATTTGCTCTTGATTAAAATTGGTGTATTGGTTGTGTAGTTAAGTGTGCATATTTGGCACGTTCTTAGCCATCCGACAATAAATGCCTGAAATAAGACTCCTTAAGAGTATAATACTGATTAGGCCAATAGGTTCAAGCAAGCGCCTTTGCCCATGCAGAGCTTGTAACAGGACCTCACTTAAGCACAAAAGAAGTCCATCTCTCAGGTGATTTGTGGAAATCTGTGATAAATCTTAATAAGATTTCCTGCAGAAGGTAAGATACGGGCCTGGACAGTACGCTGTACTGCTTCTATGACACTGATAGCTGTGTAGAATGTCAAAGCATAACAACATTACTGTATTATCCTGAGCTTATTTTAAACTAATAGCGAGTTTATATCCTCAGGTAAATTTGAAAAGTTGAAATTTACTGAAGACAATATATTTTGTCTCTAGAAATACTCTGATTTGATGGCTAAATTAGAATTTATCACATCATTAAAAATACAAGACTATTCTTGTATCATCTGTTAATGTTAATATTAGTCGATGATAATATCTGTATTTACTATGAATGTCTACTCTCTTTTTCAGCAATATCGAAAACTAAGCCAGTCTTATTACCCACTTTTGGAGTGTCTGACCCAAGATCATATGAGTTTCATTACCAGTTTAGAACCTCACATCCTAATCTATATTCTTACCTCGATATCTGAAGGACTTACTGCAGTAGGTAAGAATTGCTTACACTGAGCTAAAGAAAGAATTTGAGTACTTAGGTGTCTAGAATTGTCAAAGAAGCACATTCATTTGTATCTTAAAAAATGAATATCAAGTGACGGTGGAAGATGTTGGCTTTTGAATATTTTAAGAATGTGACTATTTCAGTTACTGGAGCTAAGTTCTTTTAAACATCTAACCAGCAGGTTTTTACAGGTAGTGTTTTTAAGTTGTCTTTTCTGACAAGCCTGAGTTGTTAAAATTATTAATGTGCCTCCACTAGGATTGTTCATGCATTTGTTATTCAGAAGTAAAATGATTAAAACATCTACAGGAATCTGTGGGGTTTTGTTTTTATTTGATCAACATAGCTGTTGTATAAATAATGCTTGTCTGCACACCTGTGATACGATTTGAGAAATTTAAAGGTATCTTTATCCATGGAAAAAAGAAACTAATTATTCAGTACCTCCTGAATATGCTTTAGAGGAGAATTCACAGAATATTAGGAGTTGGAAGGGACCTTGAAAGATCATCTAGTCTAATTAGATCATCTAGTACTAATTACTTATAACAGAAGCATACTTGGATTAACGATAAAGATGCAGCAGTCTGATTGCAGTTAATTTAATTATTTTGCATTGTTTAATTTATGCTTTTTAACCAGATGACTGTCCAAATATCTGTGGGTTTGGGAGTGGAGGGCGACAGCCTAAAGTCATTTAGAATATAGAGAAGGAGACTGGGCATTTGGGGGAAGAAGAAATAAATCATGCAGTTACTTTCTGATCGCCTAGGAATGCCATGCATTTGTATAGGTTTTGACTGAGAAGTTGCTCAAAACGTTACAGTAGTACTTACTGATTAGGGTGGTTATTAAGGAAAAAAATAGGGACATTAGTGTGTATAGATGGTACTCTGTAATACCTGTTCCTCATTACCACCAAGTGTCAGTCAAGCCCCAAGGAACATGTGAATGTACTGAGACTCACAAAGCATTTAACACATTCAGCAGTTTTTGCTGCAAGAGAGAGCGTACTCTTAAAGAGAAAATGGGTAGTGAATAGCTAAGCACAATAGCAGTAAAGAAGTATTCAGATCATTTTATTCTATAATGCTGAAATCCATCTTGTCCCAGGTATTTTGTGTGCTTTGTCACCCGTAATGATGGTACAGCAGTTTCTGCCTATAAGCTGGTTCTGCTGTGAGTCTGCCTGTTGATCATTTGCAACTGGATATTTTGTACTGAATGTTGGCTTGGCTGACAGCTACCAGTTTAGCAAGCCCTGTTCCTGGTTTCTGTTATCATTCCACATCACACCTCTTCCATTTGAGATAATTCTGGAGATACTAATTTAACTACCATACCAAGTTTACTTTAACCATCTTTCTGAAACCCAATTTGAATTCATGTAAAAGAGAGAGAAGAAAATGTAAAAGCTATATATAAAAAAAGCTATATGTGTTATGTAGATGTTTTGCTAGAAAACTTTTATTTGGTGGAATTCTTGATATTCTGCTGAAAAAAGTATCAAAAAAATTTTTAACAGAGTTTACTTTAACCATCTTTCTGAAACCCAATTTGAATTCATGTAAAAGAGAGAGAAGAAAATGTAAAAGTATCAAAAAAAATTTTAACAGCTCTCTTTTTTCACATTTCATAAACCACAGACTTGCTTAGCCAATACTCTCCTTCAGTTCACCCCGATGTCCTTAAAGTACCTAAGATAAATCAAACTTACAAGACTAAAGCAAAGTGTGTCAGAACTTTTAACGTGAAGGCTTGATGCAGTCCATCAAAAGCTATTATGGTCACTCTCATGTTCATTTTTTCTTTTGTTTGCTCCGATTCTTCCAAACTCAAAAACAGTTTTACGGTCTTTAAGACTTGCCAAATCTGTCTGTCAGAAAGACCTGACTGTTTCCGTATTGCCCAGGGAGGATGTGGAGCCTCCATCCCTGGAGATGTTCCTAGATACTGGATGAGGTCCTGAGGAACCTCTCTGATGTTGACCCTGTTTTGGGCAGGAGGTCGGACTGGAGGATGGTCTCACTTGGTTTCTACTACCACCTTTAGGATCCTACTGGTATTTTCTTACATTTTCCACTTGTATTCTCTAGCTTTCAAAAACAATTTTTGATTCTGCCCAAATGCCAATGCAGCCCCTCATATTTTTGAATGTTTCTTGCACGTTAAGAGTAATACTTACTGTCCATGATTAGTCAGCTTAAAAATGCTGCTGCTTTTACCTTTCATATTGAAGTGATAAAGTGATTACTTTTCCCTAATACCCTGTTTCTTAACATTGCATGTATCAGTATCTTAGTACTGCATATTGATGTCACCCGTTAAGTTCCTCCTTTGTGTTCAAGAAGTTTTACTTTTTTAGTGAAGTGAATACTTTCCCATACTCTTTTAATACATGTCCAGATGAACTCCTCTTTGGTTAGTTTATAGCTCTTAATGTTAATTTCTTTATTTTTAATCATTTCAAGAGTTAGTTGCCTACCACAGTGTTTCCTCAAGAGTCATTCTTCTAAATGTTTTATCCCTTTTAAAATTGTGGTATTTGGGACATTGCCAATTGTCAGACAGTGAAATACAGGTTTACTTCTTATGTGTTACTTGGTCACCTACATCCTTCTGTCCTTGGAAAACGAGTCAGTAGATCCAAGCATAGCTTTCCTTACTGAATTGTATCAGTGCCACAAGAATATCTGAGAATAGTAGGGCTCAGGGCTATAAGCCATCTGAGGGGAAATTGTGTTTTGAACTGATTAGAATATACAAGTCATTTTCAGAAATGTTTATAAAAATGAAATAGCTGTCTTTTTTATTTTAAAAATTAAATACCAGGAGATCACTTCTCTTTTACAAGAAAAAGGTATCTGACATTTTTCTCTATTCTCTTTACATTTGTGAAACCTTTGAGACTCTCATTGTTGTCAGCTGTAGGATAAACATTCCCCAAATCCTTATTTCTGAGCAGTGTTCATTCTGTTGCTGAGTAAATACCTTGCCTTTCCACTGTGAAAGAATATGTATTCCTTCGGAAGCGCCTACCTGTAAATCAGCTATAATGGAAGCCCTCATCTAAACTTTTATTGGGAGGATAAACACTCCAACAGTTCTCTACTGAAGTGTTTACCTGTCTTTTTCACAGCTGACTCAGTGGATCAGAGTCTTTTAATGTAGTCTGCCTGGCATGTTGTCACTAATCTCTGCAAAGCTTTTCTAATTCTCATATGATTAATAGTATAAGATGCTATTCATTGAGGAAAAAATACAACATTTTTTCTGTCTTACTACCTAATTTAGATGTTAAATTGCTAAATCCATTTACTTTCCAGGTTTAGTCTCAAAGGCAAATAATGCCAGTATTGAACTGTAAGCAATTGATGGACAGGGAAAATACCACTTAGCTGCCTCTCCTTGCCTTTGTGTGAATAACAAAACAAAGTCTTTTAATTTGCAGAGATTCAGCAATGTCATTAAACCGTTGAAAAGTAATTTCTTTTCAGCATGATGTTATATTGTTAAGACCAAAAGGCATCCTCAAGTTATTTGGGGGGTTTGTTGGCTTTTTAAAGATAATATAACCCATTCTAACATACATGCTCAACTTCCAGTTACTTGAGCTATTGTCTGATTGGAATTCCCTATGTAAGGCAAAAACACAGAAATAATTTAAAATGTGCATGTAAAGTTAGCCCCCAAAACATGAAGTGGATACTTACTGGCGAAGAAGAAACCAAAGGATGTAGTTGAATGTGCTGGTGACTGGTGCCAGAGGCATCATCCTTGTCCCCTGCCCACCACCAGCACCTACCTCACCAGCAAGCAAGTCCAGAGAGCTCAGTTTTGTTTGACAGGACTACTGAACTGTAGCTCAATTCATGCTGACACATGTGGAGCTGGTTTCGGTGTTTTCTGTAACCACAGCCTGCTTGCGTTCTGATCCAAACGGTTAGTTCACAGGTGATAGAGCTGAGATGACCAGAAATAAGAAATGTGGTTTGACTGCATTTTTCCTGGTTATCTCAAGCTTTTATCTCAGTGTCTTTTATTATTCTATCTTTATTCTCTCTTCTCCATCTGTTTCTTCTGGCCATAGCTCAGAACTGGTAGCTCCTCGTTGCTCTTGTTTGTTCTATTTATTTGGTTGCCTGGCTTGTCTCGCTAAGATTTAGTGAGAGCACTACTCTGCTCCAGCACAAGGTTCCACATGCCCAGAAGAGTCATTCAAGGGAGTTTGCTTGACGCTCCCTATCTGTTATACCCTTGCAATCAAAAGGAAAAATGAGCATAGGGAAGCATATTTGATATATAGTTATGGGCAAATTTAAGTAGCTCTTAACACTCATATCAGATTCTCATGAGCAAATGATAGCATAGACCTGTCTGCTGTCCTGCTAAAATCACTTACTGTCGAATGTAAAATATCTACTTGTACAGTATCAGCATGTTTAGAACTACTGCTGTTTTGTAAACTGATGATAGGGATTTACTTTGTATTATTCAATTTAAAAAGAAATACAGTTAAGCACTGGTTTAGAAATACAGCAGAGACCTCCTATGAAATATGTATTTTCAAATCTCTCGCTTGTTGTTATTTATGGTGATTCAGTTCCACCATGAATTGCATTTCTAGTTTATATGCAGGACATGAGTGCCAGATTCTGTGGTCTTTACTTTGGCAAGACTCCGAGCTTTCAACTCAACTTTGTTCCAGCAGTGTATCTTAACATCCTGCCCCGTTGAATTGAGTCCTGGGAAGCCCACTGTTCTGGTGAAGACAGCAAAGATGCTCCAGATCATTTCTGTGAGCTGTGAGATTGCTCTCAATGCCTGCTGCTAAGTCAGCTGGTTGCTTTGCAAGATCAAGTCTTAGGAGACCATTTGTATCTTCTTTGCCTGCGAATGTTTCTTCAGTGTTTATTTCAAAACACTCTTAGCAAAATACAACTAGTTTATAGATGGCAAAGGGTTAATCGTGCCAGTGCAGAGCTTAAGGAGTTAAACAGACACAGATCAAAATACTTCAGTGTCTAGAGGAATGTGTTGAAATGAACACTGCAAGGTTGGCAGACCTCCAAATTAGCAGAGTTTAAAGAATTCAAGGTACATTTAATTGGATCCTTCTAATCCCTTTTCCCTCAGAATGAGCATTTTAACGGTTTAATTCCTTTTGCAACCCCCACACACGCCTTACTCCAGTGGCCCATTGAAAATAAATGCTGTGAACTATAAAAGGCCTAGACAAGTTCTAGCTGAAGTCAGTGGCAACAGGAGAGGGAGTCCTAAATGCTCCGCTCAATTGCATCTGATGTTTGAAGTGGCAGAGAATAGCAGCTAGGGCTAAACCTTGCACACAGCAGGTTCAAGTGCGGCACGTATACAAGGAGCTCTGGTTGGTATTGGTGTGGTGAGGAGCTGGCAGTTGTTGAACATGTGGCTCGGGCCAGGACTACAGAACCAGAGCTGGGAGGCGGCACAGTTGTAAATGTCTACATCGCAGTCACTGGTCTTGGGGTCAAGGAACGTTTTGGGTGTCAGGCCAGGAGACTGGGCAGAGGAAAGGAGCACACCACTTCTCGAGAGGTAGATGAGAGAAGCGTGCGTGAGAACCAAGGACCAGTACACGGTTATCATCGTGCTGATGCGTGGAAGTGAGCAGAAATCCTCTCACAGCAGCGGCACAGCAGGCAACACCTAGCAACAAAATAACTTACATAAATCAGACAGACGTATTTACTCTGCAAATAGGTTTAAGCTTTTAATCTCCCTTACTTATAGGAACAGTAAGTAAAGATATGAAGTGGCTTTTCCTTCTGCTTTTCAACAGTATCCTCCTTTGCTGTCATGACTCTTCAGTTTCAGGGACATTGATGAAGTATTTGTTACGGACTGCTGTTGTGCTGTTGCCAGCCATATTTAATGTATTTTAACTTGCTGCAATTATAAAGGAAAGTGACTTACTGGCTGTTCCATGATCACCTTTTTAGTATGTTTCATGACCCTTGTTCATTGTTTGTCACCTGACATTGATTTTAAGCTACTTGGAGCAGAGAAACATTGTGTAATACTACTTGAGAAAAACCTGGACAAGTACTCTACCAATTTAACCTTGCCTTTTCAGTCAGCAGATCAAATGAGAATTTTAGTTTCCAGGAATCTGGAGCCTTCTGAATTTGAAACTGAAGACCAGTGAAATGTCAGCCCTCACCCTGCACTTTCCAGTAGGCCGAGGGGCAGCTGTACTCATACAGTTGTGAATGAAGTTCACTGGAGTTCGTAAGATCTTTAGCACGTGGAGTGAGCCAGTTACTCAAAAGCAAAGGTTTACTACCGTTGTGTGTTAATAAAGGCAGTCTTCAAAGCTACTCAACTCATGTATCAAAAATAGACTTTGTCAATGTATCGATTAGTCTAATGTCAAAGAGATTATTAAACTTGAACTCTCCGAGTACTATAAAATGTCATTATTAATTATTCTTTTATGGAAACAATTTCAAAACTGTTTCATTTTTCACACAGATACAATTGTCTCCTCCAGCTGTTGTGCTAGTTTAGACTACGTTGTCACCTACCTCTTCAAGCACCTCGCTAAAGAAGGCAAGAAGACTCTAAGATGTAGAGACATTTCACAGGATGGACAGAGATTACTTCATTTCATGCAGCAAAACCCAGAAGTTCTACAGCAGGTGAATTAGCGGCCTTTTCTATGGGGCATTATTACACTTCTACATTTTCCTGAATTTCTGTGGTTCTGAACACCAGGGTAGCACTGGCTGGTTAGTAACGGAACAAACCTCCCTGTCCTGGTATGCAAGCTTGCGTAGCTTCAGCCATGTTCTCATGACAACCAAAGATTGAAGATACTTTTTGTCATACTGAAAAGCGTAGATACTATGCGTGGCTGTACAGTGTCTTAAAACTTGGTCTTTCATTTTTGCTTATCAAAACAAGCCCTTGAGATCATCAATATATTGCTATAGACAAATGGGAAGGAAAGCTCTCTAAAGTATTTTAGGAGGAAGAGGAACAGATTCTGGCATTGAAGCACATATTTGGTAATGAAATGTGTAAATGGCACGGCTGTATGCTGTTGAGTTTGAATATTTTATTGTGCAGTAGGTGACTCAGTGGGATTTTTTTTCTGCTAAAGGCAAAGACAATAGAAATTAAATCTCATGCTTCTGAAAAGGAAGTGGCCGCTATAGTGCTTAGGAGAGATTTCCCCTTCCCAGCTCCATCAGGTTTATTCCCAGGTCCATCAGGCCCAAGTACATTACGGGGAGATCGGGATGTTCATAGCTACATATATCCACATTTGCTCTGGGCCACGTTCTTTAAAATATCATTAAACTATTTGAAAGTGCGTATTTACAGGGATCTCCGGATTCCTAATGCAGTTGCAAAGATGCCGTTTCAGGAGATGTGTTTCACGGGTCTTGAGGCTTTTAACGAAAACGGAAGTTATTGACAAAACACAACTGACTTGGCGTGGTCCTCTTTGTGTTTCCCTAATAGGGACACTGTCATTTGGAAGCAGCCTGGCAGACAGTCACCATAGTTATTGTTGTCATCTGTGAAGGTGAAAAGTAACTAATGGTAGCTAATGTATTCCCGGGGGTATATAGCGTATTGTGAGAATATTACTGATGCTTATTATTGACATCATTATCAGAACATCATTGTTCCCTTGTCATATTACAGGTTCTTATGTTTTACTTGCCTAACAGGGTTTTCATGGAAACTTAGCGATGCGGTCAAGTCAGGATTTGAGATGTCACATTGCTCAGTATCGTACTGTGAATGCATTGATTTGAGCATAAAGGACAGAACAGCAGCCTGGGCTCTGGACTTCCCTGCGTTTGTGGCAATCTTGATGTAATACTTTGTCTGTTAATACGCGGTAATCTTTCACTTTACAGCATATGACTAGGCGGTGATCTGTCTTTATTAACTTCAGATTCTGCGGAATACGTTTATTTTGAATGCGGGCTTTCACATACTATTTTAAATATTAATGGCTGGTCTCCAGTAGTCAGCATAAATATGATTTGCATTAGCACTAGTCATATCATATTGAGTGCCTCTGATGTCAACTACTCAGTGTACTAATATCTGACATCATCTCCCGAGGTCACTGACAACTTTGACCTTTATTCTCATGCACAGTTTCTGTAGTCTCAGAAGCTCTTTTGAATTGATTTGAAATTTTGACTCTTCCCTTTATGAGGCAGTAAAATTGATAATTATTCAGATGGGAACTGAGCACTGAGTGAAAAATCAATTCCACCCGCTCTCTGCTGCGTATAAAATTACTTCTGAGTCTGCTGGACTGAACGGATGGCCAAGGTAAAAGCAGCAGGCAGAAATAGTAGAGAGGATTAGCTGGACGAAACTAATAGCCTAGAGGGATGGCTTTTGAGATGAGGGAGTGGGCCGGTTGGGGGTTATTATCAGCAATGATGGGAGTCATTGATCATATGTTTACATCAGGTTTCCATTGGGTTATAAATCAGCCCTGAATAGAAACGGAACCCAAGGCCTTGCATTTTACCAGGGGGACGGCATATTAGCTTATTCTCACTTTCACACACGGATGAAAAGTGAGACATTGATTATTCATCGGCTGGCCATTAAACACTGGTTTTATAGATGATTTGGCTATCGTGGAAGCTAATGAACAAGGTTGCTGCTTCATAACCAGCGGTTTCAGTTTTCAAGACATCTGTGTCAGTTAAGTAATGCATAACCCTATTAAAAAGAATGGGTTACAAATTGCTTAACAGTGCTGAAAAACTAGACCCTAATGACTAATTGTGCTTTGAGTTTAGAGAGGTTTGTCAGCTCTTTAAACTAAACTGATGCAACGATAACTGCAATTATATACTAGTTAGAACAGTTTTTCCAAGTTGGGTCTCTGGAAGTACTTGGATAATCGGCGTTTCCGGCAGCACTCGAGGAAGAGCCCGCCTGGGATCGGGCAGGCCGAGCGGCGCGGCTCGGCGTGTCTCCGCTCCGGGCACACGGATGGCTCGGGGCGGCTCTGCCGGGCGGGGTGCGGAT